AAAAGATAAACAAGACTGATGAACCGTTAGCCAGACTCATCAAGAAACAAGGAAGGAGGACCCAAATAAATAAGATCAGAAACGAAAGTGGAGGAGTAACCATGGACACCACAGAAATAAAGATGGTAAGAAAATACTATGAACAACTATATGCCAACAAGCTGGACAATATGGATGAAATAGACAAATTCCTAAAAAAATACAAACTCCCAAAACTGAATAAGGAAGAATCAAAAAACCTGAATAGGCCAATAACAACTGATGAAATAGAAGAAGTAATAAAAAAAACTCCCACCAAACACAACCCCAGGTCTGGACAGCTTCACAGGTGAGTTTTACCAAACATTCAAAGAAGAACTATCAGCTATACTCCTCAAACTGTTTCAGAAAATCCAAGAGGAAGGAACACTTCCAAACTCTTTTTATAAGGCCAGCATTATCCTAATTCCAAAACCAGATAAAGACACTACAAATAAAGAGAATTACAGGCCAATATGTCTGATGAACATAGATGCTAAAATCCTCAACAAAGTATTAGCAAACTGCATCCAGCAATATATTAAAAAGATCATATACCATAAGCAAGTGGGATTTATTCCAGGGATGCAAGGCTGGTACAATATTCACAAATCAATAAACGTGATCACATAAACAAAATGAAAGACAAAAATCACATGATCATATTGATAGACGCAGAAAAAGCATTTGACAAAATCCAACACCCATTTTTGATAAAAACTCTTAGCAAATTGGGAATAGAGGGAGAACATCTCAACATGATAAAGGCCATATATGACAAACCTACAGCCAACAACATCATAGTCAATGGGCAAAAACTAAAACCATTTCCTCTAAGAACAGGAACAAGATAAGGATGCCCACATTCACCACCACTCCTGTTCGACATAGTAGTGAAAGTGCTAGCCATAGCAATCAGACAAGAAGAAATAAAAGGCATCCAAGCCCTAGTTGGTTTGGCTCAATGGCTAGAACGTCAGCCTGCAGACTGGAGGGTCCCAGGTTCAATTCCAGTCAAGGGCACGTGCTCAGGTTGTGGGCTCGATCCCCAGTAGGGGGTGTGAAGGAGGCAACGATCAATGATTCTCTCTTATCATTAATGTTTCTCTCTCTCTCTCTTTCTCCCTTCCTCTCTGAAACCAATAAAAACATATTTAAAAAAAAATAAGCGGCATCCAAATTGGAAAAGAATTATCATTATTCGCAGATGACATGATATTGTACATAGAAAATCCCAAAGACTCCCTCAAAAAACTACTAGACTTGATAAATGAATTTGGCAATGTAGCAGGATACAAAATTAACACCCAGAAATCTATGGCTTTTTTAATACATCAACTAGAGGCCTGATGCATGAATTGGTGCATGGGTGAGGTCTGGCCGCACACACCCATGGGGACTGATCGAGCCAGGCTGGCAGGGGGGATGGGATGCAGGAGGTTGGGCCCACCCCTGATCAGGGAGGGGGGGCGACTGGGGGCATGTCCAGCTGGGGGGGGGTGCCCCCCTTTCCCCCTATCAGGCTGGTTGGCCAGCCGCAGTGCGTGTCATAACAACTGGTTGTTCTGGCATTCCAGTGGCTTGGCTTTTATATATATAGATAATGAACTCACAGAAAGAGAAACTAACAATCCCATTTACTATTGCATCAAAAAAAGTAAGACACCTAGAAATAAACTTAACTAAGGAGGTGAAAGACCTGTACTCAGAAAACTACAGGACATTGAAAAAAGAGATAGAGGAAGACATAAACAAATAGGAGAATATACCGTGTTCATGGATTGGAAGAATCAACATCATTAAAATGTCCATACTACCCAAAGCAATTTATAGATTCAATTTACTCCCCATTAAAATACCAATAACATATTTCACAGGCCTAGAACGAACTCTCTAAAAATTCAAATGAAATAAAAAAAGACCCTGAATAGCCGCAGAAATCCTGAGAAAGAACAAAGTTGGAGCGATCATAATACCAGATATCAAGCTATATTACCAAGCCATGGTTCTCAAAACTGCCTGGTACTGGCACAGGAACAGACATATAGACCAATGGAACAGAACAGAGAACCCAGAAGTTGACCCAAGCCATTACGCTCAATTAATATTTGACAAAGAAGACAAGCGCATACAATGGAGTCAAGATAGTCTTCAATAAACAGTGTTGGGAAAATTGGACAGATACACACACAAAAATGAAACTAGATCACCAACTCACACCATACACAAAAAAAAACTCAAAATGGCTAAAGGACTTAAATGTAAAATGGGAAACCATAAAAATCTTAGAAGAATCCATAGGCAGCAAAATATCAGACATATGTCGTAGCATTATCTTCACCGATACAGCTCTTGGGCAATGGAAACTAAGGAGAAAATAAACAAATGGGACTACATCAAAATAAAAAGCTGCTGCACAGCAAAAGAAACCATCAACAAAAAAACAAGAAAGCCCACTGCATGGGAGAACATATTTGCCAATGTTATCTCCAATAAAAGTTTAATCTCAACACTTACAGGGAACTCATACAATTTAACAAAAAGAAGATAAACAAGCAATCAAAAAATGGGCAATGAACCTAAATAAACACTTTTCTAAAGAGGACATACAGAAGGCCAAGAGACATATGAAAATATGCTCAAAGTCACTAATCATCCGAGAGATGCAAATCAAAAAAACAGTGAGGTACCATGTCACACCTGTCAGAATGGCTATCATCAACAAATCAACAAACAACAAGTGCTGGAGAGGATGTGGAGAAAAAGGAACCCTCGTGCACTCCTGGTGGGAATGCAGACTGGTGCAGCCACTGTGGAGAACAGTATGGAATTTCCTCAAAAAAATTAAAAATGGAACTCCCATTTGACCCAGTGATCCCACTGCTAGGAATATATCCCAAGAAACTAGAAACACCAATCAGAAAGGATATATGCACCCCTATGTTCATAGCAGCACAATTTACAATAGCTAAGATTTGGAAACAGCCTAAGTGCCCATCAACAGATGAGTTGATTAAAAAACTGGTATATTTACACAATGGAATACTATGCTGCTGTAAAAAAGAAGGAATTCTTACCATTTGCAACAGCATGGATGGACCTGGAGAGCATTGTGCTAAGCAAAATAAACCAGTTGGAAAAAGATAAATATCACATGATCTCACTCATTTGTGGAATATAATGAACAACATAAATTGATGAGCCAAAATAGGAAAAAAAAATATTTTAGAATATAATAGAAGTAATCTTGTTATTTGGAGATTTTTAAGATTTCCTACAACTTTTGTGATATACTATGTTAGTACAGTTTTGGTAATATTATATTTAAAATCTTTTTTTCTTGAAATATTAATGTGTATTGCATGTGACATTGTATTTAAAACCGTTTTTCTTGGGGAAGAAAACACAGAAAAAACAAACCAACACATGCGTCACTCCTGTAGCTGTTATGCTAGGACTATTAGATGGGGAGATGCCTAGACAGAGCATGAGGACCCCCACCCTTGCTGAGCCTGCAATCACGGTGGGATTTAAGGAGGTCAGACAGGTTACTGTCTGGTAGTCATGTAACTGCTGAGCAGAGGAAAAGCATGATTTAGGGCAGCGGTTCTCAACCTGTGGGTCGAGACCCCTTTGGGGCTTGAACAATCCTTTCACAGGGGTCACCTAAGACCATCGGAAAACACATATATAATTACATATTGTTTTTGTGATTAATCACCATGCTTTAATTATGTTCAATTTGTAACAATGAAAATACATCCTGAATATCAGATATTTACATTACGATTCATAACAGTAGCAAAATTACAGTTATGAAGTAGCAACGAAAATAATTTTATGGTTGGGGGTCACCACAACATGAGGAACTGTATGAAAGGGTCTCGGCATTAGGAAGGTTGAGAACCACTGATTTAGGGTCTGGTGCTTTTTGTTGATATAAGAATTGCTCTAATCATAATTCCTTTAATCCACAGTACGCCCATGAAATAGTCACATGTGAGCCAAGAGACTGAAATGAGCAAGTAGTTATGTCTTTCGCTGGGGGGGTCAAACCCATTGTCTGCAGTATAAAGGTTCCTAAAGTTCTAAATATCTGGCTCATTTTCCACAATGGCTTTTACTGGAATAGTGTTATTGAAATCATTTTTACTTAGGATGCTCCACCCACTTCCCCAGTCTCTGTAGACCTCTAGAAAGGACTGGTGATCCATGGGCTGGAACAACTAGGTAAGCAAGTGGACGAGGATTTACTGCGTGCCTGTCTGCAGTACATGAGCGGGGCAGACACACATCCGCTGCTCTCCAACAGCACCTGAGGTGCCAGGAACCGCAGGCGCCGTTTGCCAGCCTGGCCCACATTCAGGAGCTAGTGGACGAGGCATGGCACAGCCAGAGGAGCCCTGCCAGGGGACGAAGGGAAGGGAGACCCACACAGCGCAGTACCCGCTGGCGCCAAGCACCGGCCAGGAACCGTCACGGGTCGTCTCACTGAATTCTCATGAGAAACTTAGTGGTACCCATCTCTACTTTACACATAGGGAAACTAAGGCTCAGAGTTTGTGAAGTAAGTTCTCCGGGGTTCTGGAGCGAGGCCTTGTCGCGACTTGTCCTAGGATGCCTGCATCTTCAGAGCTGATCTCGCTCTCCAACATCAGCCGGCATGATGCCCACCGCCAGGAAGAAACGGAAGACCCTTCCTTTGGACCAAACCAATGGGAACCACAGATGTGGGAACCCCAGGATCAGGCCGAGCCCACTGTGCACGTGGAAAGGGAGTCAGGAACCCACCACGTGGCACCAGCCCTCGCACGGCACTGCCCGCGGCCACCACGCAGCCCTGGCTCACCCCTGGGAGCGGCTCGGCCTGCACTCAGGGAAGGACTCCGTTTTGGAAGCCGTGCAGTGACTGACAGTCCTCTCTCCCCACACAGCCCACTGCGCCTGGACTTGTTTCCGCATTCCCGGTTCGGGCGGCTCACCTCCTTGTGGGAGTCTTTGTGGGCTTCCAGAGTCTTCATGATCGTCAGCTCGGCGTAGTTTTTGAATCTTGCTGGCTGGTTTCTCAGAATCTCCCGTAAAACTCTCAGCGCCAGTGCACGAATGGAATGCTGGGGAACAGGAGGAAGGAAGAGGTCAGCAGCCTGCACCCACGCACACACCCGGCAGCAGGGTCCAGGGCACCGAGCGTCCGCAGACGCCTGGACACGGTTACTCTGCTGACCTGCCGGGCTCTCGGACGGCCAGCTCCATGCGCAGCCCGTGCCCCTGGTGGCATTCCCAGCACCCTGCCCACACCTAAGAGGGACATGATGAAGGTTTCCTCAATGAGCCAAGTGAGGACAATGGAGCTCTGGGGGACGGGAACTTCCTGAGGCTCAGAGATGCAGACCACCCCGTGTCAAATGCCCGGAGGACAGGTAAACGCGCCTGGACACCGGGATGCGTGGCCTGTAAGACTGTGAGCTCTCCAGGGCAGCTGAGACCTGTCATTCTCCCAACCTGCTGCGTGATGAGGCCACGGGGGAGGGGACTGTACCAGCCTCGAGGTGCTTGAGGACCTTGAGGCCCGGGTCATGTGTCTGGAGGAAAGCCATTCCAAACAGACTCCTAATCTCAATAAAAGAGAATGGAGTTTACACCAAACACAGCCAAAAAGTACATCCTGATTCTTTGTCACTCACCTGTGCAATTCACCCTCCACCCCGTTCTGCTGCCTCTACATGACATCGCTCTATCTCCCGGCCTCAAAGCCCAACCCAGGAGAAGGGCTTCAGAAACCAATGCTTTGTTTTAAGAAAAGTTGATACCGATCTTTCATCACCATTCTTCTAGCCTCCCTCCGCCTGTTCTAGACCAAACCACTAATCCTAAGCAGCAGAAAGCAATCCAAGTCAGCGCGACACTCCCAGCCTCCTGCTCACCTGTCTCCCATTCCCACCACCGTCAGCATGAGCCCGGGCATGGCCTTTCCCGTGGGCTGTGTCAGATTTCAGCCCGGGCCTGCCCTGGAGCTCTCCCCACGTTCAGGCGATTGCTGTTCCTGCTGCGGACACAGAGCCCCGCGCGAGGGACACGGCTTATTGGCAATCCCTCCATTTACTCCCGTCTCTGTGGACGGGCCAGCTGCACGGGCAGGAAGGCAGGACAAATGCCTAGTGTGTCACCTTCAGATGTCACAGTGTGAAGAGGACCTTTACTTTAAAATTAACAACAGAAAATACCTTTACTTTAAAATTAACCCCGGTTCCTGAGCCTGGTGCGCGGCCCTGACGCATGCACGGGTGAACGGAGACAGAATGTGCCGGAATGCAGCATTTCGTAGGGTCTTTAAAAAGGAACTTCTCTGTTTCGCAATGAAACATGAAACAAAAATAAAAGTCACAAGGAAAAAAGCTCATTGTTACAAACGACATTTTAAGCTAACAGAGTTTTAAGAAATTTTGTGTAAAGTGACCTGATGCAGGAACAAGTCCCCTCATCGACGTGAACGTACTCTAGGTGGGGCTTGCTCCCTGGGCTCCGAGGCCAGTTCAGGCGAGCTTTGATGTAAACAGGGAGCCCAGTAGGAAAGGAGAGCTGAGCCACCCCACAAGAGCAGCCCCCTCCACCCCCGGGAAGGAAATGCAGAACAGCTCTCACGTCTTTGTCTCCAAGGGTCTCCAGGAGCAGGAGCAGGATGGTCTTGAAGTGCTCCTCCCAGACGCCCAGGCTGTCCTCCCGGGTGACCTTGAGCAGCTCCAGCAGGGCGCCCTTCCGCTCCTCCACGCGCTCGTTGTGGTTGGACAGCTCTTTCAGAAGGTCCGCCACCAAGTCCGAATGGTCGATGGGCACTTGTGAGACACAACACAGACGTTACCGCACGAGGGACGCCGGCTGCAGGTGCTGCCTCAGCGACGCAGCCGCCCTCCTCTGCCCTCCGGTCTCTTCCCATCACCCCCTCCATCCTGACCTGCGGCCCGAGCCTCACTCTACACCCGCAGCAGGTCATCCACCAAACTAACTGTCAAAACAGAGGTGGGCCCAGCCAGCGTGGCTCAATGGTTGAGCATCGACCTATGGTCCAGGAGGTCACAGTTTGATTCCCAGTCAGGGCACATGCCCGGGTTGTAGGCTCGATCGCTAGGGGGCGGTGTGCAGGAGGCAGCTGATGAATGATTCTCTCATCACTGATGTTTCTCTCTCTCTCTCTCTCCCTTCCTTTCTGAAATCAATAAAAATATATTTAAAAAACCCAAACAAAGGTGGGAGAATAGGTATCGAGCACCAATACTCAATGTCTCTACCCTGCCTTACCACCTTCCCACTCAGACAAAGAGGAGAAACTGCCATTTCTTTCATCGGTTCACATAGAGAAGAAGCCCTCGCAAAGCCCGTCCTAACTCCATCTCCACTGCGACAGTCCTGCGTCAGGCCCTGCCACAGAACCCGCTTACTAGCATCCCCTCCACCAGAGCACGCTTTCCTCAAGGCACTCCTTACAGTTCCCTCCCATCAACACCCACCCACCTCCGAGTGTCCAGAGGTTAGGACAGGGGTGGGCAAACTTTTTGACTCGAGGGCCACAATGGGTTCTTTGGACCGGAGGGCCGGAACAAAAGCATGGATGGAGTGTTTGTGTGAACTAATATAAATTCAAAGTAAACATCATTACATAAAAGGGTACGGTCTTTTTTTTTTTAGTTTTATTCATTTCAAACGGGCCGGATCCGGCCCGCGGGCCGTAGTTTGCCCACGGCTGGGTTAGGAACTAGCACAGGAAACAGACACCAGCCAAGGTCGACTGTCAAACTTCCCAAGACCTCTAGTGAATGACTTGCAGGGACTTGAACCATATGGCAGAAGAGCATATCCCTTCTCTGCATGTTCTTTTAAGAGATCTCCACTCTGAATTCACTTTAAGTAGAAAGCGTGAAGAAACAAGTCAGAAAAATCATCGGAACTACTTTTTTTTTTTAAAGATATATTTTTATTGATTTCAGAGAGGAAGGGAGAGGGAGAGAGAGATAGAAACATCAATGATGAAAGAATCATTGATCAGCTGCCTCTTGCACACCCCCTGCTGGGGATCGGGCCCGCAACCCAGGTATGTGCCCTTGAGTGGAATTGAACCCAGGACCCTTCAGTCCTCAGGCTGACAGTCTACCCAAACCAGCTAGGGCAGGAACTACTTAATTTGCATGTGCACATTTCTTTAGATTCCAAAATTGGGGAACTAACACAGAAGAAAGTCTGAAATGTGAAAGAACTCTATCATTTCCCCCTGCTCTCCCCACCTTTTTCTTCAAATCTTTTATTATCCAGTTGCTGAATAAATAACAACCAACATCCTAATCTCCATTCCATCTTCAATAAGATCCACAGTGGTAAGTGAAATGATGCACCAAGTCTATGAGCAATGAAAGGCCACAGGCCAGTGGTCCACAAAGGGCAGTCAGACCAACACTAACCGAGCCTCTGCCAGGGAGCAGACGCCTGGGGTGCACGCTGCAGCCACCAGCAGTGAGCTCTGAAGAGCCAGGACTATGCTTTCACCGGCTGGACTTTTCCACGCTGGCACTCCCCCCACACCTGCTCCCCCCACCCCCCCGGGCCCTAAGAAGTATATATGTATGCTTTTAAAAAACTGACGACTGCCAAAACCGGTTTGGCTCGGTGGATAGAGCGTCGGCCTGCGGACTGAAAGGTCCCAGGTTCGATTCCGGTCAAGGGCATGTACCTCGGTTGCGGGCACATCCCCAGTGGGAGGTGTGCAGGAGGCAGCTGGTCGATGTTTCTCTCTCATCAATGTTTCTAACTCTCTATCCCTCTCTCTTCCTCTCTGTAAAAAATCAATAAAAATATTAAAAAAAAACAAAACAAAAAAAAAACTGACGACTAAGTTGGGTCGGCTTTAGCGCAGACAGTTCCTCTGTCATGCAGACAGCTAAAATGATTACTAAGCTGAAATAACTCAAAATGTGTCAACATGACAATGAGGTGGAAAACAAATTAAGTTCCAAATAAAATACCATCACACCGAAATATACTTACTCACTTGTTCCTGAGTAAAGGACACGGTCTTAACAGAGTCAGAAAAAGCCAGACTAGTTCTACACTTGGGCAAGGAACTCAACCTTTCTGAACCTCGGCTTCTTAATCTGCAGAACGGAAACAACTGCCGCTATGTCCACTGGATGCAGTGTGTAAAGCATGAGAGCTCTCCACACTGGACGCCGTGTGTAAAGCATGAGCACTATGTCCACTGGATGCCGTGTATAAAGCATGAGCGCTATGTCCACTGGATGCCGTGTATAAAGCATGAGCGCTATGTCCACTGGATGCCGTGTGTAAAGCATGAGCACTATGTCCACTGGATGCCGTGTATAAAGCATGAGCGCTATGTCCACTGGATGCCGTGTATAAAGCATGAGCACTATGTCCACTGGATGCCGTGTATAAAGCATGAGCACTATGTCCACTGGACGCCGTGTGTAAAGTGTGAGCACTATGTCCACTGGATGCCGTGTATAAAGCATGAGCACTATGTCCACTGGATGCCGTGTATAAAGCATGAGCGCTATGTCCACTGGATGCCGTGTATAAAGCATGAGCACTATGTCCACTGGATGCCGTGTATAAAGCATGAGCACTATGTCCACTGGATGCCGTGTATAAAGCATGAGCACTATGTCCACTGGAAGCCGTGTGTAAAGCATGAGCGCTATGTCCACTGGATGCCGTGTGTAAAGCATGAGCACTATGTCCACACTGGATGCCGTGTGTAAAGCATGAGCGCTATGTCCACACTGGACGCCGTGTGTAAATCATGAGCACTATGTCCACTGGATGCCGTGTATAAAGCATGAGCACTATGTCCACTGGATGCCGTGTATAAAGCATGAGCACTATGTCCACTGGATGCCGTGTATAAAGCATGAGCGCTATGTCCACTGGATGCCGTGTGTAAAGCATGAGCACTATGTCCACACTGGATGCCGTGTGTAAAGCATGAGCACTATGTCCACACTGGATGCCGTGTGTAAATCATGAGCACTATGTCCACTGGATGCCGTGTGTAAAGCATGAGCGCTATGTCCACACTGGATGCCGTGTGTAAAGCATGAGCGCTATGTCCACACTGGATGCCGTGTGTAAAGCATGAGCACTATGTCCACACTGGATGCCGTGTGTAAAGCATGAGCACTATGTCCACACTGGATGCCGTGTATAAAGCATGAGCACTATGTCCACTGGATGCCGTGTGTAAAGCATGAGCGCTATGTCCACTGGATGCCGTGTATAAAGCATGAGCACTATGTCCACTGGATGCCGTGTATAAAGCATGAGCACTATGTCCACTGGATGCCGTGTGTAAAGCATGAGCGCTATGTCCACTGGATGCCGTGTATAAAGCATGAGCGCTATGTCCACTGGATGCCGTGTGTAAAGCATGAGCACTATGTCCACTGGATGCCGTGTATAAAGCATGAGCGCTATGTCCACTGGAAGCCGTGTGTAAAGCATGAGTGCAACAGGCAATGCGAGTGCTCGGCGCATGCCGGAGCCCATCTCCCAGCTGCAGGGCAGTCACCGGAGCAGTTCCAGAACAGCTGCCGATACGCTGGGGAGGGGAGGAGAGCCCAGTGGTGCTTCAGACCCGACTCCCACAGCTACACGGGCAACATGCTGAGCCCAGAGCTGGGACTGCCGAGCCTTTGCCCTCCACGTCACTAACTCCTCTCCTGAGCTCCTCGGGCCCTGGGTGCGAGTGACGGCTTCCCTGGTGGCACCCTGAGCCCCCCTCACTGCAGCTTTCAGAGCTGCCCCCTGAGGTCACCCGTGTGCCTCTGGAGGGTGGGACTGTGTGTCCTTTTGTTCACTGTTGTGCTGTCCATGCCCAAGCACATGGCAGGACATGTAGCTGTGAACAAAGGACTAACCAGGCCTGACCCGTGTCCATGTCCATTCGACCAATATGCCCAGAGTTGGTCAGACAAGAGGGGAAGCCCATGGGAGAAACTTCTGGATGGGGACAATCAAACAAAGAAAGACAAACCATCTCGAAGCTGCTCCATGTCGTCGTCAAACACGGCCTCCTTCAGGGCTGTCTTGTCATAGGTGTTGATGGTGTCCGGGTAGGGGTACAGGTTGTAGTCTCGCGCCCGCGGCCCCGGGAAGGCGCGCGGAGGCTGGGTGTTGAGCAGGGAGGTCTTGTTGTCCAGAGCTGTTCTGCCTCCTTCCACCACGTCACTGCCGCCCCGGCCCTCAGTGGCAGGGGACGCAACTCCACCATCCCGGGATACCTGCGCACAAAACAGGTATTAGTCCTTTTTAGGACTTTTAAAAACGTTTCCTTAAGTTTTCAGAAGCATTAGGAGAGCCAGAGACTTCTCACTTGAAATCTGGCCACTAACAAAAGAACAGTTGTTAGAATTTCAATTTGTAAGTATCTACTTCATAAACTGCCTTAAAAGGAACAGAATATGCTTATATTGTCATCTCTTCTTTCATTAAATTACACGTAAAATCTGTTTCACTTTGAACGTGGGGTTAACTTTACGCAAACATTTTTTGAGAGATTAATAACATGAAATTCTGGAAAGTCCCTTGAGAATGAAGGCCACAGCCCCATCCCGCTCCTCAGAGACCTGGCCCAGCACTGCAGCCTGTCACTTCCTGTAAACAGCAGGGCTTCCTCACTGAGGCCCGACACCAGGCCGACAGGCCCCAACCACCCCCACCAGACCGAACGCGGTTCTGCTGCCCGAGAACCCCTTGCACACGGCCCACCACGCGGGGAGCCAAACCATGGCTCGCGGTCTCTAGCAATGGAGGGCTCAGGATCCCCTACAGGTCGTCCTTCCTTTGCATGTTTCTGACTCTGAGTCGGTCTTTACTTTGGGTCAAAGAACAGGTCTTTTGCCCTCACCAGTTTGGCTCAGTGGCTAGAGCATCGGCCTGTGGACCGAAGGGTCCTGGGTTCAATTCCGGTCAAGAGCATGTACCTCAGGTACGGGCTCCTCCCCAGCCCAGGCCCTGGTCAACCAGTCGATGTGTTTCTCTCACATCAATATTTCCTCTCAGTCTTTCCCTGTCTCTAAAAACCAGTGGGAAAATTATCTTCGGGTGAGGATAAAAAAAAGAACAGGTCTCTTATTGTTTTCCAAAAAAATCTTTTTTCTAATAGCTTCTGAGTCTTGTCTTCAACAAATGAAAGCCCTGGTCCTCCGTCCCTGCCATGCTTCTGACTCCTTCACTCTCGGCGTCCCTTCTCCGGGGCCTTTTGCTGGCAGCACTGGGACAAGAGCGGGCCTGGGCTGCCTGGGCACAGCAGACCTGTCTTCTCCTCACCCAGACATGTGACTAAAGCGAGTGAAAACAGCCTCAGCAGTCGGACCCCTTGTGCTGATGCACTTATACTTACATCATTTCAACCCTAAGTGTACAATTCAGCGACATTAAACCCATTCACAGTCTTGTGAAACCATTATCCACCAGTTAGATTTTGGGCAACACTTTTTCATCTTTCCTAACCGAAACTCTGTATCCATCATGTACTAACTCCTGCCCTCCCAGCCTGGTAACCCCATTCTACGTTCTGCCTCCATGAATGTGAGGACTCTAGGTGCCTCACATAAGTGGAAGCACACAGTGCCTATCTGTCTGTGTCTGGCTTATTTCACTTAGCATAATATTTTCAAATTGCATTGGTATTGCAACGTGTCAGTATCACATTCCTTTTTTAGGGCTAAGTAGTCTTCCACTGCACACACACATCACATTTAAAAAATCCATTTATCTGTTGATAGAAACTGTGTTCTCCACCTTTTGGCTATTATGAATAATGCTCCTATGAACACTGGTATAGAAATTTGTGTTCAAGTCCTTTCTTTCAACTTTTTTGGACATATACCTAGTGAAATTGCTGGAACGTACTTGATTAACACCCCTCCCAAAAAAGATTGTTTACTAATATAATACTACTGTAAAATACATGCATGGATATGAGCAAAATGATTTAACAGGGGTTTTCTCCCAGGGAAGATAATTCACGGATGATTTTAATTTTCTTCTTTTTGTAACTCTATTCTAAAAATAAAACATACTTTTATAATGAAAAATCATTTATAAAGGGAGAGTTTTAAAGAACAAAGACATTCAAAAAACAAAGCTAAACTGTCCTAATTCTAATCACTTTTAAAAACAAAAAAAATCTTACTTTTTAAACTTTGCTTTTTATCTCTGTCCTTGTCTACATGCATGTTTTATAGTGTGGGAATCACAGTGCACATACTGCCATACACAGGGTGTCCCAAAAATGTACACACACACTGTGAATAACTATAAAGGCAGTGTTTATTAAAATAATCTCATTTTCAAAATTGAGCTACCCACTGTTAAAGGGTGTATACATTTTTGGGACGCACTGTATTTTGCTTTCCTCGTAGCGTAAGCATGTCCCACATAGTTTTTATAACCTTAACTAGAGGCCCGGTGTACGACATTTATGAACTGCAGAGGGGCGCGGGAAGAGGGGGGGAGGGATCCTCAGCCCGCCCTGCGCCCTCTCATAGTCTGGGACCCCTGAGAGGATGTCCATCTGCTGGCTTAGGCGGACATCCCCCCTCGGGGTCTTTAGCGCTGCCTCAGAGGCGGGAGAGGTTCCTGCCACCGCTGCTGCGCTCGCCAGCCATGAGCACGGGTTCCAGCTGAGAGGTGCTCCCCCTGTGGGAGCGCACTGACCACCAGGGGGCAGCTCCTGCGTTGAGCATCTGCCTCCTGGTGGTCAGTGTGCATCATAGTGACCAGTTGTTCTGCTGTTCAGTTGATTTGCATATTAGCCTTTTATTATAATAAGATTTACTCAACTATTCCCCTTCTACTGATTTTTTAGTTTTTGGTTTTGGCCATTATAAATAATACTAAAATAAACTACTTTGCGTAAAAACTTATCCTTTTTCTTTTTGCTGAGCTTGTTAGAAAATAGATCATTAAAGGCTATGAAACTAACGTCCTTTTGCTAAATGTCACTTTACTAAGTTCCACAATGACGGTGACAATCTGCCATGCCGCCACATGTCCCTCTAGCCCAGCGGTTCTCATCCTGTGGGGATGAACGACCCTTTCACAGGGGTCGCCTAAGACCATCCTGCATATCAGATATTTACATTACGATTCATAACAGTAGCAACATTACAGTTATGAAGTAGCAACGAAAATAATGTTATGGTTGGGCCACAACATGAGGAACTGTATTTAAAGGGCCAGAAGGTTGAGAACCACTGCTCTAGACTTTCTGGCACTAAGTGTTGCAACTTCTACTTGAAACAAAGCTGGCATCTCTGCTTCTGTGAACCACCTCCCCTGGCTCTGATGCCCATGCGTGAGCGTCTGCCTCCTCAGACGAGTCACTGGTCAAGCTTACGAAGAGGCAGACTGGCTCCCGAGTCCCACCTTCAACACAGTATTAGATCTACCTCAGCTTCATAGTTAAGAACCTGGTTACCAGTGGCCAAGAGGTTGAGTGGTAAACCTCAACTCCTCACTGTCACTGCCTCTTCTCATGCTCCCGGAGGCCCCCCCTCCAGTGGGACAGCCCTGTCTCTGCATCAGGTTCTCCTTTGGCCTCGCTGCTTCCTCTCCAGCCTCTGCTCCTCCCACCCTGGAAGTGCTGAGGCTTCCTGGCCCAGCTCTCACTTCTCACTACCACGCTTCATTCCTTTCAACTCTCAGCACAGTACTTTTATGCTCTAAAAAGTTGAAAACACTTAAACGTTCCAAAAAACAGGGCACTGGGGACATGACTATGGCACATCCATGAGGATTACCACCCAGCCCCAGAAGGCACAGGGAAGAGCACTGGAGGACAGCACTCGTGTCCTTGTGAAACAGGACGCACACTTTGATGCCACTTTTATTTTAATTTATTTATTTTTAAAATATATTTTTATTGATTTCAGAGAGAAAGGGAGAGGGAGAGATAGAAACATCAATGATGAGAGAGAATCATTGATTGGCTGCCTCCTGCACTCCTCCCACTGGGGATGGAGCCCACAACCCAGGCATGTGCTCTTGACCGGAACTGAACCCGGAACCCTCCAGTCCACTGGCTGACGCTCTATCCATTGAGCCAAACTAGCTAGGGCAGATGTCACTTTTATTTTAAAAATACTCTGCACACCCCCTGAAACACATTAATGTATAAATACACATAAATAGAAAAATGCACAGTAAAATGTTAAAGTTCATTATCTCTAGAGATGGTGACTTCTTTTCGCACTTTTAAAATATTATGTGTTGGCTATCTGTCACATTTATAGTTGGGACGAGTAATACCCAGGCACCCACCTCCTCCCAGAGTGGCTTCTGTTCCTACAGGATGTCTGCTCACTAGGCAGAGCCCTGCCCTGACCCCCAGCCACTTGGAAACCTTTCCCAGGCCCTCCCAGCAGCCCAGTGCCAGGCCTCTCTCCACTGATGGCACAGAGAGTGGGAGCTGTTGGGCGGGGGGGGGGGAAGGGCAGATAGAGGGGGAAGGACCCTCCGTCTTCCTGCCCCTCCTTTGTGGCCAAGGCTAGCTCCTCAGCAGGGCCCAGATCGCATCCCTCCATGTCCTCAGGGGCCGTGTCCACCAATGGACCCTCCCCTGCACAGGGAGCTTTCTTCTCTCTCTGGCCCACTGGCATTCACGCAGGTCAGGCCTCTCCCACGGGGAACACCCCAACGCCCTCTTCTCTCCCCAGTTTGTTCACACTTCAACCCACTTTCAACCCTTCCGGAACCATGCTCACAAAGTCCAATGGACTCCTGAGAGAAACAAAACCTGTGAAGTGTGGACTGTGATTACTTAAGAAGAACAGGAAAGTAAACGGTGGGCCCCTTCTCAAAGGAAAGGTCTTGGCTCTATGTCAAAACACTGGTGAATGAGCATGTGTTTCCTGTGTTTCAGGTTAACATGGAATTTGCACGTATATAGTAAATTAAAAATCCAATGGAGCCCTTCCCTCCGGGTCTGACTGGTGGGATCCCTTCGCCACAACTTCCTCCCGAGAGTTCCCTGTAACACCGTTCACCACACGCTCCGGGCCTCCCCTCCTCTCCAGCTGTTCTTCCAACTTCTTCCTTAGTGTTGGTGCTGCTTTGGATTTTGCCTTTACCCTTTACCTGGTTGATTTCATTGGCTTTTCTTTGGTTCCCATGGAGCAACTAGTCAATCAATGCCCCTCAAGTCTGTCTCCAGCCTCACTCGCTGGCCTAAACTTCAGACGGCCATATCCAGAGGCCTAATGGATACGTCTGCTTGGATGCCCTGCAGGTCTTGGGAGTCACATGTATTCAAAGGGGTTATCATATACTTTTTCCCTCCTGCTATGAAATTTTCTCATTGAATTGCACTGGCACCTACTCATGAGTCCTAGTCAGACCTGTAACTCTTCTATTCCTGCTTTTCTCCTACTGAACCCAAATGCCTTGGAATAATTCTCCATCTGAGTGAAAGCAATCTTCCCAAAACTTCATGTGACCATGCCACGTCCCCGGTTAAAATCCTTCACGGACTCTCCAGTGTCCCCAGTGAAGTCAAGACACGGCTGGAAATCCCCCTGGGGTGAGCCCGTCTGAGCCCCTTCTGCAGACCTCCCCCAAACACAGCATGCTCCCTCTCTCCACTCAGGGGGAACCACTCCCATCTCTCCACCTTCTCCCCCTGCTCTGACTACAACCTCCTACTTGGCTTTCATGCTTCATCGCTTGCAGATCCTCCTGGGCACCGAGACTAGTCCTGGTGGGTCTTGGTGCTGAGCCCGACCACCCATCACATGCACCACAATCTCCTGCTTATCTGCCTGCCTCCGCATGAGATTAGAGCTCCCACTCAGCCATGCTGGTATCTGATTCAGGCTCACAATTTTTATCACATCACAGGAACAAAAATATGACCAGCACAAACAAAAGCAAACTGAAAACAAAGGTATTTAACATTTTTCACAAAGATAGCAAGGCTAACTCAAAATTGCCTTGGGCCTCTAAAAATATTCCTTTCTATTACACGCTAAAAATAACGATGCAGCTCAGGAATGGCAGTGGTCAGTGTTCAGAAGAATCATTAATCACCACTTAATCAATATACAGTTCTCTATTAGTCCGGGGATACTTACAATATCACAGTCCTTCTTGCCATCTCGTTTAATTGGCTCATTCAGATCCTCTTGGCTTCGAAAACTAAACTTTTCAATGGCTTCTGTAACTCCACGCAAAGAACTATAGATTTCTTCAGAGTTCAGGTTCTCTGTATCATTGTCCAGCAAGCTAAAGATCAAAATATTTTCTTTCTTAAATTGAGGCATATGCATAGAATTGAGACGTGTGCATACATTTCTTCTAATAATTTACGGAGTAAGGTATAGTTTTGCTTCTTTCGGTGATTTAGGTGGAATGAAAAGAAGACATCTGTTATTAGAGCACCACTGGGGGACAAGCACACACCTTCCCTGTCAAGCCTGGTCCTAACACATTGCATAACACACAATTAGAACCAGCGGGAAACAACCACGAGGATGCAAGAACTCAAAGAGTGACGACTGGTGACTGAATGCACGAGGTAATGAAAGTGGAAAAATAACCGGCATATCTTGAGCATGGAAGAAAGTAGATTGGTTGTTACTGGTCTCAAATGTACAAACTTAAATGAAAAGGAATGGGCACTTCAAAGTAAAGCTAGATTACAAACAGATTTCAGAGGAGCAAAGCAAATGACTTCACCAAGCTGGGTTACGCTCACCAGTATCAGAAACTTGTACATAAAATCCTGTGTTACCGCCCAGCTGGCGTGACTCAGTGGTTGAGCACTGACCTATGAACCAGGAGATCAGGGTTCAATTCCCAGTCAGGGCACATGCCTAGGTTGTGGGCTTGATCCCCAGAAGGGGGCGTGCAGGAGGCAGCCGATAAATGATTCTCTCTCATCACTGATGTTTCTCTCTCTCTCTCTTCCTCTCAGAAATCAATAAAAACTAAACAAAACTAAAACTAAAACACCAACCCTGTAAGTTGAAGTCGGCTCCCCCTTACCACTGGGCTCCTGAGAGTCTAACTCGGCTAGCTAACCCAGGAACTTGTTGGGAATATCAAATCCTTGTAGATGCTTATTTTGGAGTTTTATAATAAGAGCCAATCTTATAAAGATGAGTGAGTTTCTAGATGCATGTTTAAAACCATTTTTAAAAAAACCAAAATTATCTGTCCCTTAAAGAAAAGTGATTGTCAACTGATGTCATTTTTTAAAAAAATTTAGCATAACTAAGATGAAATGAAGCAAAAATCCTAACCAGCCTTTGGTGTAATGCAGTGTATCAACAAGTGGCCTTTAGGTGTCTGAAAAGTACACTGAAATTGAAAATCCCAAGAACAAAAACCATCAACTGCCTCTCACTAAGAATATATTTTAAAAGCACAGAAAAAATACAAGAATATAAAGAAAGCAAAACGTGAAGGAACACTCAACAAAGACAAGTCCAAACTATAACTTAGTTAAGATGTCACTTGTTTCAAAAAATACCCAGGACAAAATCAGTTGTGTGGTCTATGTGGCTGCAAAAAGTCCTGAGCTACACGGAGGATTGCTAGGGACACTAAAGAGTCCTTGGCTGTATATAAGGAAGCTTTCACCATTACTAAGGACAGCACTCTTTCTGCTCCTCTAAAGAGAAATAGTGAATTAAGCACCCACTGCCAGGAGCCCTTCCACAGGACAGCACAATCCACCCCTCACAGAGGTAAGTTTCCTGTCACTTAAAAACAAACACACTTCCTAAGCCCCTCCCCTGTCTATTGTTGTTTTTTAAAGCTTGGGCAGGCGAGCAAGAGGGCTTTGGACAGTTCTCACTTGGAGTGGTCAGGCTGGCCTGAGGGTGCAACGATGCAAGCGTTTTCTAGGCTAGTCAGGTTCCGCTGGAGCGTCAGGCGAATTCACTCTTAGAGATGGAAGCTAGCTGCCTAAAATTGCAGAACCGGCCCAGACAGAACGCACTTTTCTGTTCTGATGAAAGAAAATACACACCCTAACTGTACTCGGCCAGTTCAAAAAAATATCAACTCAAAGATTGGCTCTGGCGTCAAACAAAAAAGGAATGAACCTGAACATACAGCTAAAATTCCATGTATACACTGACAGGAGGTGGATAAAAACTTGAACAGAATTCAAGATTTCCAGTCCTTCTAAATCTCCAACGTTATCGCTCCATGAGCTCCACAAACACCACAATCCCAGCTTATGTATGAGCAAAAGCATTTATACATCTGGCCAGTACACTATTTTTAATATATAAAGACTGAATAAACAAAAAATATGTATATAAGATGTAAAAAGATGTCTTAAAATATTTTGAATCAAAACAACCAAAACTAATAACATAGCCCATGCACACACACACCAAAAAGAAAAAAAAGAAAAGAAAGAATGATGGGATGGGCAGGAGGAAGTGATGACGTTCAGCTTTTTAAGGGATGTCACAATATTATTTTCCATATGTCGCTTCAGATGATGTTAACTTTCACGTAATTCATCTCACTTTTCTTCATCTGAACCTCCTTAGAATATTTCATTTCAGTTCACATAACTTTAGCGTTATAGTAGCCTCTTTTTGAAAGAGAAAGCAAAGGATTCTGCCAGCTCATGCTCCTCCTTACTGTCAATTACTAAAGCAGGGCAGACTTCCCTGCAGGAGCCCATGTGCATGGCCGAGGCCAGGCTGCTGCTCCTTTCAGACTCGCTAGCTGAGGTCTCGAAGGGCTCCTTGGTACGAAGCGAAAACTGTGAGCTCCAGGTGAGAGCGATCATTGTTTCCCTCGAACAGGAAACAGGGTACTTTCTTGGCTATTTTATGCTTTGGCTTGATTTGTCTTTTTTCAAGTCAACACCTCGGAGCCCTCATTTCATACAGAAAAAGGAAACTCCCATGAATGCTGTCATCAGGGAACTGTAGACACTGTGGCCCCAACAAGCCACACGCTGGGGGAGCAGCAAGACACACGCAGCAGCCTCACTCGGGGGTAGCCCGGCCTGCACCTGCCCCGCACTCAGCTCGGAGACAGCTCCGGGAATGACCCTTAGGGCAAGGCCAGGCCCTGTCCCTGTAAACCTGGGACAAGAGCCCAGAAAGTTTGCCTCAGGAGCCTTCAGATTAGCAAGAGTGGCTCCACTGGTCAGCAGTCACTGACCTGGGGTCAGCCAGGCACCCAACACTGAGCCCAACACAGCCCTGGGCCGCAGGCTGTGAAGGGTGCGGATCCTGGAGGTGCACGAGGTCAGTTGCCAAGGAAGAGAAACCGGAGACAAGCAATTGTCTCCTTAGGTTTTCTTCGTTATTTTGTAGGGAAAAGATACTAGGGTATAGAAAAAGGATAACTGGTCCTTGTTATGAAATAAATAGGGTTTTGGTATAGAGCAAAGAGACAGACTTGGATTTCCTCTTGGTTTTATGTGAGCAATAGGTTTTCTAACTGTAAAAGCTCACCACCTCTCTCCCAATGGTTGCATAAGGTACAGGATTTGTTAAACGTCAGCTGCATTACTGTGCCACGTGCGAATGAGGATTCTGGGAACAGGGCACCCTCGGAGGGCATGGCGGCTGGCTGGGGAGACTGGTGGGGTGAAGCTTGGTGCCCATTAGGGCACAGTTTACCGGGAGACATTAAACTGGTCTTATAACTTAAGGCCTGATTAATCTTAAAAAAAAAAAAAAAAGGAGCCCTAACCAGTTTGGCTCAGTGGATAGAGCGCCGGCCTGTGGACTGAAAGGTCCCAGGTTCAATTCTGGTCAAAGGCATGTACCTTGGTTGCGGGCACATCCCTAGTAGGAGGTGTGCAGGAGGCAGCTGATCTCTCTCATCGATGTTTCTAACTCTCTATCCCTCTCCCTTCCTCTCTGTAAAAAATCAATAAAATATATTTAAAAAAAAAAAAGGAAGTGTATCGACATCGTTACTAACGCTGAGGACAGAGGGACACCTCCCTCGGTGTGCCCTGGCCTAACCGTGCCTACCTACAGTCTTGCAGGGTTCTCTCCACGTCGGAAGTGACTTTAGACAGCATGTTTCAAAAGAAAGACGTTAAAACACTCAGCTGACTGTTTGCCGCATACAGCCTCGCTGTCATCTTCTCTGCAGCGCTCAGAAGGGAGCTTCACGCTCGCCGCCCCAGTGGAGGGCACAAGCCCATCGGACACAGCACCGCCACCGGCAGCTGCCCTGCCCTGCCGACCGCAGCCTTCAGGGCCGGGTTCTTTGGTCTCGGAACCTTACACGAAGCACGAAGAGACCTGCTGCTGTCTGTAGGAACACCTGGCCCTGCCTGTGCCCCGGACTTACCATCTGAAGCAGGCCCCTCCCCTTCCCCAGACTCAGCTGCACTGTCCCACTGCAGCAGGGGCTGGTGAGGACACCAACAGCCCTCCTGCTAGGGGCCGGCCTCCCCGGAGAGGCACCTAAACGCCCTTCCCTTCGCGGGGCTTCCTTTCTGGGTCTGTGTCCTGAGACAATCACCAGGTGACCGGCCATTACCCAGTTGTCAGTCCACACTCTCGCCAGCAGGCCTGAGAGCCGCAGGTGGAGTTTGGGAAGAGCAGGTCTGACTTGCTCTTGGTGGGAATGCCTTGGACCCTGAGAAGAAGGCTAAGGAAACTGCTGTGGCTGCCTGACTTCACGCACTGCCTGGCACCCCCTGGGGGCTGAGCACCGCACCGGGCTAGGCTCGCACGGGAGATGCTGATAACAGGGTCCTCAGTCCTTGTGACACGGGAGGAACCGCACTCACGAGGTCCGACAAGGATCACGCACCTGCTCACGCTTCTCACCAAGGCTCTCCTCCTGCTAGTCGAAGCCAAAGCAGGGCCACTGGAGGCAGCTGAGAGGCTTTCAGAGACTGAGACGACCTTGGGGATGCAATAATATTGTGACACCTCAGACGAGTTGACAGGTAGCTTGTTACCTGGGAGAGTAAGAGCGCCTGAGAGTCTTGTGGGAGGGAGCGGTGGGAATGGAGTTGGGCTGAGAAAGGGGAGGGGGGTGCTTCGATAGCCCATCGGCACTCCAACCCCATAACCGACTGCAGTGATCAGAAGAGGAAAATCAGAAAGAGAAACAAAAAAAGGCAAAGGGGAAGGGAGGAGGAAGATGCTACGTCCTAAGTGTCTTAGAGTCTGCTCTTTCCTTGACCAAGTTCTATCGAAATTCATTGGAGCAAAGTTAACACTTCACCACACAGGGAAAAAGAACACTTTTTGGGTTACAATTTGGCCTCGATAAGACTGCAATCCTCCCCCCCTCGGTCATGCATTTACATTTTTAAATCACAGGAGATTCTGAGTGAAGCGTGTGCACACGCCTACATTGGGAAGGACATGTTAGGCACTTAAAAAAATACATGGATATTCCGTGTCAGATCACGGAAGACAGGAAGACTCAGAGGACGTGTCCTTGTGGCCAGAGGCTGGGATCCAATCAGACGGGAATTCTGAGGCTGCCACAAGCCATTTCCTCCTGAAACAGTAACGTCACCACTGGAAGGCTAGGCGCCAACGCTCAGCTAGCCAGCTCAGAGGGCACCCCAGGTCCAGTCCTCCGCTCCTGCCACCTCATGTGAGGACTGGAATCACCTGCGAACACAAGTATTCCTCTTCCCTCGCACAGGGCACTATGTGACCTGGGCTTGCCAGGCGCCCTGCCGGCAGTTCTTACAACTGTTGCAATTCAAGAGAACCAGGTGCCTGGGAAAGGCTGGGGCAGCCCGGCTGGACAGGGGACAGGAGGCTGGGGGAGGCCGGGCGCAAGGACAGCGCTCCCGCACACACCGCCCCCTGCCGGCTCCTCGCAGTGCTACAAGCAGGAGCACAAAGCTTATCTCCACCTGAGGACAGTCATGGCCCCATTTCGTAGACAAATGAAGTGTGGAGATGCGAGTCCCTGTGCCTTAAAGGGGCTAAGAACTGTCCCTACGTCACACACTGGGTTGGGGGAGGGCAACCCTCTCAGGCCGGAACTCTGCTCCCTCCTACGGAAGGCCGGGCCCCCCATGCACCCACTCTGATTCTACGGACGGTCCTGATCCTCTGGTGGTGAGTGTAAACCCCCCCCCCGCCCCCCGAGGACCTGGGACTGCCAGGGGTGAGGATGACCATGTACTTTTTTATCTTCAAGGCAATGGATTTCTGAAGTCCTTGCAACTCTGCTTCCATTCAACATAAACCACACGGGGTAGTGTGTTCAATGGTGAAAACTGCAGGTCAGAACTCTCCTCTCCAAATACCCAGAGTATTTGTTTACTAGATGAGAATAAACAGTAGTTCTTCCCTCAGACAGACACAAGGAATGGAATGTGCCACAAAAGTTTAGCCTGTTAGCTATGGCTTATCTAATACTATTGGCTTAATAAAAGTGACTTCTTCACTAGTGATTAAAAAAAAACAACTACCAAATTAGATCCCCCCCACCATCTTTTTAGAATATTTCCTTATTACTACCATCATGATTCAAGGATAGAATTTTTGGAGAAAAAACTAATAATAGTTCATTTTGATACTCAATATTAGATTAAAAAATAACTAGCGCTGACTTCTCCCCTTCAGCGTGGAAAGCCACTGTCATGGTGGCCGCAAGCACGCAGGCCAAGAGAACAGGCGCTTCCAGAGCCCGAGAGACCGCCTCCTTGGGAGTCGGCGACAGGGCCATTCTCCCAGTGAGTGCAAAAGTTCCTTTCTCTTAGAGTTTTCCTGGTAGGAAGTATATTGCCTATTTGAATATTTCCAGGGATGTGATGCTGTGAGGCCGTTTTTCCTACTTGGGGCAGTTTTAGTTGAGAAAAACATTTCTCTAAATGAGTACAAACTTGGCTCAGCCCATCTGGCCAGTTAGGCACTGACTAGGACACATGCTTTTAAAAAATAAAGGCCCAGCGGGCGTGGCTCAGTGGTGAGTGTCACCCTGTGAACCAGGAGGTCACGATCAGGGCCATGCCTGGGTTTCAGGCTCCATCTCCAGTGGGGGGCGTGCAGGAGGCAGCCGATCAAGGATTCTCTCTCATCATTGATGTTTCTATCTCTCTCTCTCTCTCCCCCTTCCTCTCTGAAATCAATAAAAATATATTTAAGAAAGAAAAAAAGAAACTACACAACTAAGTAATTCCCTAAAGAATTTTTCAACCAAAAAACTATTTAGGCCACACTTGGAGGTTTTAATATAGAAAATAAATCTCTTCATTTCTTCTACTGACCTGTAACCCTAGCAGTAAACATTAAAATTAAGCCAATTAAGAATGAATGATGATCTGGAAAAAATAAAATTTTTATTAATTTAGGGATCCATGAGATTAATACTTAGCTCTAATAAATTATGCTAGCAGCTCCCAACAATCTTTTACTTAGACTATTAGCACAATTAATAAAATACTTAATTTGTTTTACCTTTTGCTTATTACCTAGAGAGTGTACCACCCTGATAATGAAATACAGTGGGGCCTTGACTTGAGTTTAATTCATTGCGTGACAGAACTCGTAACTCAAATTACTCGTATGTCAAATCAAAAAGTGAACGAGTGAGACACGTGATACTGGGCTGATGTTGTGGCGTTCACTGTGACGTTCGCTGCGCCAACTAGCGGTGGGGTATCTGAAGCTGGCTCGTAACCCGAATTTTAGCTCGCAACTCAAAGCAAAAAATCGGCCGAGAGATGGCTCGTATCTCGAAAAACTCGTTAGTCGGGACACTCGTAAGTCAAGGCCCCACTGTAGTTAAAACATAAGAAGTATGATCTGTGTATTATGATGTGTATTATGAAAGAACAGATTTCCCATTGATGGTGCAAGTATCACTTCCAGAAGCAACAATTTATAGCCAGAGAACTCTGTGACTTTGCTGCTAGCACTGACCCTGGGCCACTGAAGACAATCATACACTGTGACACACATAGAGATGTTAGCATGAAAAACAAGTGGCCGGCGAGCCTCAGCCACACCTGCGGAAAGGCAGACACATTCCCATGATTTCCTGGTCTCCAATGTCTCATTAGAGTGGCTTGTTGCTGAATCATGACAACAGCCCAGACTTGGAGTCAGAACATCAGACTTTAATCTACTTATAGTGCTGGGAGGGGGACTTTGGGATGAATAAACTTAAGGCAATATCAACAGTAGGACACTATTACTATAAGCGGATAGAACACTTTGTTTCACCAAGAGAGAAGTACAAGTTTGATATCTCCCAAAATATTTATACGATAACCCGAGGGACTGAAGAGAAATTCACTGGTAAGAACAGAGGAGTAAGGGAGACTCTTGATTATCTAAAAATAAAAATTTAAAGGCTCTTATGTTTTGATTATCTTCCTACTAGAGAGGTAATCCTTAAAGGGAAAATGGCATACTTGCAGCATTTTCTTATAATTTTAAGATCTTGATGTCAGCAACCCTTAAGACACAGCCCCTTAATTCTTGCTGTCAGTGATCCCAAAGACCTGGACTTCTTGTAGACAGCACAGCATGTACGGCGTTGGCAGGTCCAGGCTCTGGCTCTTACCTACAAAGTCTGGCCTAGAGAGTCACTACTCTGAGTGGGGATCCTGGGGGCCTCCAGCACATGCCAGGTCCCCAGGGCCACCTGAGACTGCTGCGACCCTGGCCGGGAGGAGCAGTGTTAACCACCGGCCCCGAGGCAGAGACACTGCCTTAGACTCTGCCAAGCCAGTGTTCACCGAGTCTGAGATGCTGCTCCAAGTTCAGTTCTCGGGTTCTTACTCCCTCCTCCAGAGCAGCAGCCTGCTGCAAACATGAGCCCAGAATGACAGCGACTAAGCTTGCAAGGGGCACTGGGCTGGAAAACTACCCCCGACTCTGTGTGGGCGGGCTCGGAGGGCTTGTGCACATGACTAAACACCCTCTTCAAGGGCTCCCGCCACTTCCAGGACTGGCGATGAGTTTCTAACGATTTCTATGTGTAGCCATGCTAAATGTAACTTCTTAGCTTCAAAACCTTTAAAGTACTGGACCGTGCTCAGAGTTAGAAGAAACTCAGAGAACATTCAGTACAAATCACGCGTTTCACTGTAGATGTTGCCCAAAATTACTCAGTTAAGATTTGGCTGAGGACTGGAATCCATGATCTCCTGATACCCATACACTTTTTGGTATTAAGCTTGGTAAAAACTATAAAAATAGGCTACACTTCAGTGTCTTCACTTCTGTCGAATCCCATTACCTTGGAGACAGGCCCCCGTGGGAACAGTTGGTGGGTGAGGTCAGGGGGCTGGTCCTGCTGCTGTTGTGTCGGGAGGGAGTCCGGCCAATTGTGTTGCTCGGAGAGCTCTGGGGTGAAGGCAGAATAAGCATCATTACTCCAGGGCTAAATAGAGAATATGGCCCACTTTTCCCTTGGCCTTTTCACCCACATGTGTCTACACGGGCACAATTTGTACAATCAGAATGATTCTTTTTCCGAATCCTTGGGGCCAATTTTAAGTGCATATTAAACAAAAAATAGATGACTTTCATATAGGCATTCCTGAAACTGAATAACTGATGCCAGCTGTGCTAGAGTAACAGACACAATTGAGCATTTACATCTCTACAGTATAAAAAGGTATGTAACTGATTGAATAACCTAACTTAAGAAAATGGCCATATTGTCCTGGCTGGTGTGGCTGTTGGTTGAACATCATCCTGAGAATTGAAAGGGGCTGGTGTGATTCCTGGTCAGGGCACATGTCTGGGTTTCGGGCTCAATCCCCAGTAGGAGATGTGCAGGAGGCAGCCGATCAATGTTTCGCTCTCACATCAATGTCTCTCTCTCTCTCAATCCCTCCCTCCCTCCATTCCCCTCTCTCTAAAAATCAATTAAAAAATCTTTCAGAAAAAGAAAATGGCTACATTTACTTTTTTTAAAAAAAATCCTCACCCAAGGATATTTTTTACATTGACTTTATTTTTTTGGAGAGAAAGTAGGGGAGGGAGGAAGGGAGAGATGAGGGAGGGAGGGAGGGAGGGAGGGAGGGAGGAAGGGAGGGAGAGAGAGGGAGAGAGAGGGAGAGAGAGAGAGAAGAGAAACATTGATGTAAGCGAGACTATCAATTGGTTGCCTCCTGCATGCACCCCAATTGGGCCAGGGATTGAGCCTGTGACCCAGAATCGAAGCCCCAACCCCTTGGTCCGCAGGCTGACGCTCTAACCTTTTAGCAAACAGGCCAGGGTGAAAATGGCCATATTTAAATACCAGGTTCATTCATTCATTCATTGGGAATATGGCAGGATTAAAACTGGTCTCCCACTCTTGAGACAACCACAGTCCATTAAAAGAGAGTAAGCAAGCTGGTTGTTAGAGCAAGCTGTAGACGAGGGACACAGAGAGGCCATGGCCAGTACACACAGGCACCAATGTGGCCGAAGCACTCACCACACTGGTGTTACTGGAATTCTTGAGGTGGTTATGCAGGAGTTTGGTGGCACCATCCTGGAATGTTTTGGGCAAGGCACCAAGTAACATAGTAAATTCAGGAGTGTTCAATTCAAACAGCGATATTAGCACAATCTGTGCAGCCTAGGAAAAGAAGACATGATGAATTTATGGAGTGTCCAACAGCATATCTTGGTCAAAATGTTCATGAAAATTGTTTTTAAAAGAAAACATTTTTATATGAATAAAATAAATAATAAAAGGACATCTTTGCTATAAAAAAAACAAAAATAAAATGTACCTGGAAAAAAATTATATCATCAACTCTAAATCGTGTTACTTCAACCTGGAAAAGAAGTCCTGGGTGCATTTAACGCCCTGGCCTTGGACCTCCGTAGCACATTCATAATAAACTCCGAAAGCTTCCCTGTGCTGTCGAGCACTAGGAATGAAGCTGGTAAAGACACACAACACGCTTCTAAGCAAGGTCCCGAGTTCCCTCAACCCCACTCCTAGTGACTGAGAAATACTAGAAAAAGGCAGCTCAACTGCATCTGCAAATTCCCACGTTCACACCTCTGAACTGAGGAGAGAGTCTTTGAGAAGCAAAGCAGAATTACATGATACAAATGAAACATGTATTCTCCTGCCTTTCAGAAAACGTTCTACCTTTGCGTGTTAGGGGACAACATACTGCAGGACTGCTTGCACCACTGCAGCGGCAGGTGGGACAAAGCAATTAGCTGAAGCCATAGCAGCCGCACGAGGCTCGAGCTCCTCCAGCAAGCTCTGGTGCTGGGGTGGCAGCCGGCACTCTTAGCCTAAACACAATGCCTAAGGAATTGGTTACATAGGTTTGATTTTTACTAAGAAAGAACATTTTACTAAGTACTAACTGGCATTTCTTACAAATTTCTAAGAGTCAAAAGAAAGGAAAGAACATTATGAAAATCTCCTAAGACTGTAACTTTTAGGATTGCAGTAATTATTGTGAATATTTTCCCCATGACATATAATATTACCCCTCACCCCCAAAAAAAATCTGCTGAGAAATTCTTTGGAAATAAGCATCATAAAATATTTCAATACTTTTACAATGTGAAAATTTTTGGTACAGTAAAGACAAAATTGATGTTTATGCCTGGAGAAAGAAAAAAAAATCCAAAGACCCAAATGTATTGAACCAAAAATAAAAATTAATTATGAATGTTAAAACATCAGTAGGATGTTCTTTACAGAATAATCAAAAATTACTTTTCAATATGTCAAACATATCTATAATGATTCACTACACATAGCATTTGGCAAAAGTATCTTACTTTTTCTCTTGACCTGCAAACACAGGCGTTAGTAACCTTTCCATTCCAATTAAATCACAACAGGCCAGTTGCTTTCATGACAGGACCAAAATGTTATTATAATTGTACTAAAATATACAGTTCTCTATTTCATTACTGTATCATTCTTAATAAATCATTATCTGGAAGAATCCATTTCACCACCTATTTAATATAGTAGTAACATGATTTCAATGTTTACATAAGAGCAAATTCAAAAAAAACACATGCAAAGCAACCTGTGCATTTTAAAACACATTGGATTAGATGTTAGGAAAAGTGCATGCAGAAAAAACTGCACTTCAAAGAGAAAGGAAGAAGCAGACTTAATTTAGCAGGGGAGGAAATCAATGCTGACCAAAATCTAATAAGAAAGTTTAGGCAACTACTTTTTTGTTGACTGAAAATGACATTTGAAAATTATAAAATGAAAATAGTACAAGCTTCCCAGACATCATAGCCAATGCCACAAACTTACTTGAGGTTTTACATGAAGTAAATTACAAAATGAGTGGGATCTTTCAGGACCATGAAGGCTGCAAGATGATGGGCCTAGAAAGTGTGCTGATTCATGGCTACTTAACATTAGTAACTTTCCGTCATGTGGGGGGTGGGGGGGGTGGGGGGGGGAGTGCAGTAGATTTAACTTTGACCCACCAATGAACTTTCTCTCAATAATAAAAAGTTGAATTTCTTTAAGAAATCAAATAAAAAGACAGGGAATTTTGAAAACATAACTCGATGGACAGATGGTATATGTGTGTGATTTACATATATAAGTAAATACAATTTATTTTTACATTTTCCAAAATATAAAATGCATATGATTTTATACAGTTCACAAAAGTTATGCCTTAGGTTAAAGCTTTTTTCAAAATAAAATATTTTTCTAATGAGATTCAAGCTCCAGAAATGGATAAAAAGTGAAATTTAAATATATTATTTTAAAAATATTTTAAATCATAGTTTCAAAAGGAATCAAAGTATATGGTCCTAAGATATTTTATCTACAACCCTCTGTGTCAGTGAGAAGTTAGAATAGTAGAGTCTAAGAAGAAAACTCAGCTGTATTTGTCATTACCATCAATATCCTCTCACTAAAGAAATAATTCTAAATATGGGGAGAGACGCATTGGAAAAAGCCTGGGCATGGCTCCCGTTCGTAACGAATCAAGAGGAGCAGGCTCTCGTCCCACCTCTGAACTTGTGCCTCCCGCAAAAGGCACTAAGTAGCCACACAAACCTCCAGAGAGCCGCTGGCTTCTTCTAATGAACAGCTAGGACAATTTATTTTAACGATTAAGTAACAACTGTAAGAAGAAATGATTCCCATTCACGCCCCTACACAGACTCTGGGGGGTGAGGGTGAAGGGTTCTTCCAATGTCACGGCTGCTGAGTGAGAGCCCCCCGGTTATCTGCTGTGCACCTCACAGCAGAAAATAACCCTCTGGACGGGGTCACGGAGCTCCGGCAAATGCTTCAGGGGAAACTTAAAATTGGGGAGGAAGAGGAGTTTGCTGTTTAAGCAACTATTACTATGCCCTTCAGATTGTCATTACAATCACTTTAGAAAATCACAAAGAGAAGGTACTGGAAAACTGTCAGGCATTTCTCACTTGGAAGCTGTCCCTTACTGGTCCCTGAACACAGGGTAGCACTGGACGTGGCTCTTTCTTTGGAAAGGGAGTTAATCATAAAACATACCAAACACAAACATTTCCGCAGCTTCACACACACTCACATAGAATGATATTAATTTTAGATTTCTTCAAAATCTCCTGTCTCCACAAGGGTAATCAGTATTAATATTCTAAAGTGCAAACAGCAAAATATCTTTTCAAATCTTTTAAATCTACCTGTTTACAATTTTCTTCCAAGTTTCCTTCTCCGCGCCCAGAGCAGGTTGAAGCTGACCTAGTGGGGAAATCCTCACCTACGCGACTACGCTGCAGCGGGGACTACGACAGGAAAGGCAGGGGATTCGTCAGAGAAGCAGAAGTGCTTAAATAAAGCATGGCTACCGGGAGCTGGAAAAGCATTCGGCTCCTTTTAGAAAATGTCCTACACGTAGGATCCAAAAGCTAAGATTAAGGAGAACAGTAACAGTAGCAACTCCCAGTTTTAAACCTCGATCGTTTGCTAGGCCCTTGACAATCGAGATCCTTCCTGGAAGGAGCAGCCTTCTTGCCCTAGTGCGGAAACAGGTCAGAGGTCAAAGGGAGACCGGAAAGGGCAGTCACAGCTAAGCTGAATCAATGGTGAAATCCTTAGCTTTCAGTAGGCCACACTGCCAATCTATAATTTAACATTTTTTCAATTTTTGAAATTTCAACTTTTAAAGGCTATTTATATGCTTTTCCTGCTCCAGGAACAGCCTCTTTTCTTTGCCATCTTCATTTCCCACATTTCTCACAACATTTGGGGGCTAATCTGTTATTTCCTCTGACAAAGCAGATGCTATATGTTAGAGAATCACATATGATAAAGCAAAGGGATTCTGAATCCAAAAATATAAACATGTTGTTCAAATTCTACTGTCATTACCACCCTCCCTTTAACTGATGAGAAATCTTCCTAATGCCAGAAAAAAAATTGGTTTTCAATTTGTTCCACTAACAGCAACAACAAAACCAAAACAATCCTCAAGCAGTAGCAGCAAGAGCTACAACAGCAAATGAAGCACCTTCAGCTCTTTCTATCCTCCCAATAATGTCTAAAACAAGTGTTATTATTCTCATTTTACAAATAAGTAAAAGGGATTCAGAGGTTAAATTACTTGCTCATGTCACTAAAGAGTGACAGAGGCAGCCCTGGCCTGGGGGCTCAGTGGATACAGTGTCAGCCTGTGCACTGAAAGGTTACAGGTTGGAGTCCCGGTCAAGGGTATGTACCTGGGTTGCAGGTCTGATCCCTGGCCCCGGTCGGGGCATGTGCAGGAGGCAGCCAATCAATGTGTCTCTCTCACATCAATGTTTTTCTTTCTCTCTCTCTCTTTTTTAAAAATATATTTTTATTGATTTCAGAGAGGAAAGGAGAGGGAGAAAGAGATAGATAGAAACATCAATGATGAGAGAGAATCATTGATCGGCTGCCTCCTGCACACCCCTACTGAGGATCAAGCCCGCAACCTGGGCATGTGCCCTTGAATGGAATCGAACCCGGGACCCTTCAGTCCGCAGGCTGACGCTCTATCCACTGAGCCAAACCGGCCAGGGCTCTTTCTTCCTCTCTTGTTCCCTCTCCCCTTCCTTCTCTTCAACTCTCTCTAAAAAAATCAATGGAAAAATAAAAATATCCTTGGGTGAGGATTAACAAGAAAATAACCTGTTATATCTTTTATAGCTTTAAAATGATAATGACAATTTTAGATCTTAGAGCAGAGTAATAAATAATCACAATTTCTAACTATTTTTTATTTAGCTACTACATTCATGTAGACCAGTGGTTCTCAACCTTCCTAATGCTGAGGCCCTTTTATACAGTTCCTCATGTTGTGGTGACCCCCAATTTCATTGTTACAAATTGAACATAATTAAAGCATAGTGATTAATCACAAAAACAATATGTAATTATATATGTGTTTTCCGATGGTCTTAGGTGACTCCTGTGAAAGGGTCGTTCAACCCCAAAGGGGTCGCGACCCACAGGTTGAGAACCACTGCTGTAGACAGTCTTTCAAATACATCTCCAATGCTGGGTAAGGCAGCTGCATCACCTACAACAGTATCTATATTATATAATGTAGAATGATGGTACATGAAAACACAGCATTCGTATAAAGCGACTCTGGGAAGACTTACCCTGCAGTGCCCTGATGTGTGGGCAAGTAGTTTGGGGCAGAGGACACCTATTTGAATCGGTTGCAGCGCTTACTCATTGGTGCTGGGCACGCACAATGGAAAGCCTTCACAGGTGGCTCCCAGAAAGCGAAGGTGCATCTGCTAAGTTGAACCTTATCACGACTGGCAGTTAGTTTACAAAGCTCCCTACTTAACCAGGTAACGATGAAAGATTCCTGCCAACCCACTTGGTAGGCAAAACACTGAGAAGGCCCGCGGCTCCTGTCTCTGCTGCACAAGCCTGCACAGTCCCTGCAGAGAAGGGCGCTCATGACTAAGACGGAGCTGCAGAGGGCAGAAGGGACTGCAGATGTAACCGAACCCAGCTGGGGTCACCCTGAGGACCACTGGGGTGTGCCGAGCTGCTTCCCTCTGGCTGTTTTAAAGATTCTCTGTCTTCACCTTTCAGTGGTTTTACTGTGATGTGTCCAGGTGCACGCTCCTCTGAAATCCTACTTGGAGTTTCCTGAGCTGCTTAGCTGTATAGATTGTTTCAACAAATTTGGGACATTATTTCTTCAAATACTCTCCTGCTGGCTTTAAAGAAGGCTGTTGCCATGTTGTGGAGACAATCAGGTGACAGGAGATGGCAAATAGCCTCTACGACAGTGGTTCTCAACCTTCTGGCCCTTTAAATACAGTTCCTCATGTTGTGACCCAACCATAAAATTATTTTCGTTGCTACTTCATAACTGTAATGTTGCTACTGTTATGAATCGTAATGTAAATATCTGATATGCAGGATGGCCTTAGGTGACCCCTGTGAAAGGGCCGTTCGACGCCAAAGGGGTCGTGACCCACAGGTTGAGAACCACTGCTCTATGAGCTGAGAACGCCCCCTGTTGACAGTCAGCAAGAATGCAGGCCCATCAGCCCTATGCCTGGGAGGAACTGGATCTGGCCAATCACCAGGAAGCTGGAAGGGGAGTGTGGCCTAGAAGAGGTGGAAGACCCAGACCACACCTGACTTCAGCCTGGTAAGGACTCGAGCAGAGGACCAGAGGACACACGCCGCAAAACTACAAGATAATAAATGTGTGTAGTTTCGAGCTGTTAAGTTCGTGGTAGTTATGTAAGAGAAAACTAATAAAGAAGTCAAAGAGGGGAACTTCCAAAACATGATTTTGAAAATAATAGCTTCAAAATGTTACTTGAATTCAGCTAATTTCTCTAGGGGTGTTTAGCATTCATTAATTCATTCACAGTAGTTATTAAATGCCTACTTTTGTTCCTGTAGGTATTGTGCTGGGTGCTGAGCACACAAGGTGAGTGAGAGCAGGTAGGCGGGGAAGGCACAGGGGCGGGGGGGGCGGACACAGCAGGACCTGGCCTCGTCTTGAAGATACAGATGCCGGCTAGTCAAGATTGGGTACCAGGTCAGGACGACATCTGCAACCTGAATGTCTTGAGGTTCAGACCCAGGGTAAAAATCTAAAATAACGGGTCTCAATTCTGTATATTAAAAATCAGCCAAGAATGGAGGGAATCCCAATTAGACACAAAACAATGTTCCTGCTCTACACCATACCAATTACCCAGGTAGAATCCAGGTATTCAGGTTGATTTTAACTGTAACCAGGATTAGAACGTTAATGTAATTAAGGATTAGAACCTTAATGTAAAGCTTTTCAAACTCTTCTGAACATCAAAATTTTTGTCCCAGAACCTGGTTTGAACCCGGTCTGAAGGTGAGGTATTTTGTCCTCCCGATGGGGAGGGGAGTGAGGGCAGCACCAGCAGCAGATGCCAGCGAGATGAGGCTTTGAGAAAAGCACTGCATGACCCAAAATAACTGAAATGAAGTGCTGAAGATCTAACAGTAAATGAACTCTGTGATTACTGGCAATAAATTTAATATCCTGACCATATTTGACTTAAGCTAGTATTAAAATAAGTTGAATGTTTTGCAGCACCTGGCCAGATAAACCAAGGAAAAACTTCCTGTAATGTCCTGATTAGAAAAGTTAGGATGATAAATCCTAGTTCACATTTTCAATGTGCATGTCCAGAGAAAATGGAGAGTATGTTCAGAGGTAGTTGCTTCCATTCAGGCCCTTATTATGGTAATGGGAAGTCTAAAGTATGTTTCAGGAGGGAATACTTCAATAACTCAATTACAAAAGCACACACTCACATAGAAGCACATATACTTACATGCTATTACTGAAGATAGAAGGCTGTACTTAAGGGTTTTGTATTTACTGGCTGATCTGTGATTTTGAAAACAACAACAGAAATATTGGTTTTTGAGCCCTATCCTGTTTGGCTCAGTGGATAGAGCTGTCAGCCTGCGGTCTGAAGGGTCCCAGGTTCGATTCTGGTCAAGGGCACTTGCCCGGGTTACGGGCTCAATCCCCAGTAGGGGGCTTGCAGGAGGCAACTAATCAATGATTCTCTCTGATCACTGATGTTTCTATCTCTCTCTCCTTCTCCCTTCCTCTCTGAAATAAATAAAAATGTATTTAAAAAAAAAGAAATATCAATTTTTTACTTACAAATCCACCAAATCATTTAACCACCTCCCATTGTACCTCTTTAATCCAAAGCTGGCTTAATGCTTAAAATAAAGGTTGCCAGTGAAATGCTCTTTTGGATACATGTTGAGAAATTTTACAAAAGGATCATCAATCAAAAATAGTAATATCAGAAAAACAATTTTAAGTAAGTGCTTTAATAAGACCTGCCTTTGTTGCTTTGACCTTGGACAACTTAGTTTATTATTATACAATGAATTGGAGAAGTACACGAACTGTGACCCTTCCAAAGAAACCTTTCAGAGAATTCTCCGATTCTTCTTCAAACCCGCAACCTGTGTATGTGCCCTGACTGGGATTTGAACCCGCAACACTTTGGTTCACAGGATGACGCTCCAACCAACCGAGCCATACCAGCCAGGGCTCCTTGAGCTCCTTTAGAGAAGGAGCTGAGTGCTCGTTTGCATTTGAAAATATATTAAGTATTCCTTGGAATCATCCTTTCCTTTATCCCTGCCGGGACCCAAGTGGTCCACATTATCAACTCTGCCCAAGGCCAAAAAATGGCTGGTAGGGGTGGCTGTGGAAGGAGGATGATACAGAAGAAAAAAAATGCCATCTTCGTAATTATACACAAATAACCACAATCAAGTACTTTTAGTCTGAAAGCAGAAGTCTGGCTTTTAGAAGTACTACATATATTTAAAGGCTAGTTAGTTTATATATAGAGTAAAATAACAATAGCCACATGTGGGATTTAAGCTTAGAAGACCATGACACTGACAGGAAGAGAACAGTAGAAACAACACACACACAGGAATGCCTGATATTTACTTTGGCGTATGATGGGTCAGGAATTGGTTGAATGCTCTACATATATTAATTAATCTTCATAATAGTCCTGAGGCAGAATACTGCCTAGTAATAGAAATAATAGTATACTATGTTTTCTACTTAACATGTCATTTCAGAAGAAAGTAGCACATGTTTCTCTTTGGGGGCTTAAAATACAACAACAAAACACCACCTTGGTATCAGGGTGTCTCAAATATACGAATTCTCCCTCCCTACCTCACTCCCCAAATCAAAGAGAGTGTGTTCCAAATGTGGCACAGAACAGGAAGGTTTGTGCTCTTTTTAAATTCAAGAATTCATTATATCTTAGTAAACTTTCACCCGCATTTTCCTATTAAGCTCCGTATGGCCAGGTGGCCTTAGACCAGGGGTGGGCAACCCCTGGCACGTGTGCCAAAACTGGCAAGCCAGTAACTTTTGCTGGCATGCGAAACTCTCTCTTATAATCTTCCATTTACAATTTTTTTCTTAATATCGACTTTTTTATTTTTCAGATAAATTCAGTGTAGGTGCATCTTAGATAAATAATTTTACATAACAAGTTATCTTAAAGACCATAGACATGGATTGACGAGAGAGGGGAAGAGCAATTTCTATGCCTCTGCCTTAACTCTCCCTGCCTTCCTAGATCCAACCAGTGTTTTGGTTTCACCCCATACGCTTGTGAATCTTTGTTCTCAGTGATGAATTTTGTTAAGTCTCATAATAGGAGTAGCCTGACGGATGAAAGTAGTAGCTCGTGCATATCTCTGAAGGTCACGAAATATAAACCTGATGTAAAATCTCTGTCATCAGTGATGCAGCAGCAAAAGTCCCACTGATAACATCAAACGGAGTCATAAAGTTTTCTGTCAGACTATCAGTGTACATGTATACATTAAAAATAAATGTATTTTTCATCATCATATACTGTGTTTTTGTCGCTCGAATGAATTTTATTATTTCTTCAAGGTTCTTCACATATGTACACCTTAAGAGATATCAAGTAGGCGTAACATGTTCTCAAAAAATTAGGGTTGGCACGCAGAAGAATTTTGAGTCAGAGATTTTGCTGGTTTTGGCACGCACTCACAAAAAGGTTGCCCACCCCTGCCTTAGACCTAAGTCTATCTTCAAAGTACATGACATAAAACTAACTTAAGGGAAATCAATTCCTTGTAAGAGACACTAACCTGCTTTCACATTAAAAAGATAAATAAGACGCCTAAGACAACCATGAGCCCCTCATACAAAATGTGGGATCTTTAACATTCACAAACTGGAGCGAGGGAGAGCTGAGAGAGGAGAGAAGGGGCAGGAGACAACTCTCAGCTTTCCCAGAGGCGTGCCAGTGTCTGCCTGTCTGGCGGGGGGGCGGGGGGTCTGCAGTCTCAGGATAAGGCCCTTTCTCTGACGGTAGCACAGCCTGTCGTAAGGCTGCGCTGCAGCGCCTTGGACGTACCTTTCTCACGTCGGAACTCTTTGGTTCTGTTGTCCAGGTTATAATTCTAGAAACAGCAAGCCTGGTCTCACTAGAGTTTATAAAGTCAATTGGATCCATCTGTCTGGCGAGAGACTCAATGTACTTCAGGATTGCAACTTTGACCTGAAAGATCCAATCATTACGAACATTAAGTACACTTTGTGAGTCTTCGAGTAGAATTCTTAACTGGTCATCAGAGAAAAGTAAACCCTACTGAAGCGACACCACCTTTCTGCTGGGTTTGTGGTTCCACATGGAGCCAGCATCCATCAGGACAGGAGGTGTGGGATGACTGAGAGTGAGTGTGGCACAGGAGTGCATGCAGCCTAATGCTCCTCGGTTCCAGAGCCGGCAGGGAAGACGTGCCCTGCTCCTCGCCTCGCTGCAGGACACGCAAAGGGCGGAGCCCTTGTGGGGAGGCCGAGGGATTTTGAGCTCTGCCAGGGACTGGGATGGCAAGTACAAGGCTGCAGCTAGTTTTGCTTTTTAGACAGCCTAGGCCAGTGATGGCGAACCTTTTGAGCTCGGCGTGTCAGCATTTTGAAAAACCCTAACTTAGCTCTGGTGTCGTGTCACATATAGAAATTTTTTGATATTTGCAACCATAGTAAAACAAAGATTTATATTTTTGATATTTATTTTATATATTTAAATGCCATTTAACAAAGAAAAATCAACCAAAAAAATGAGTTCGCATGTCACCTCTGACACGTGTGTCATAGGTTTGCCATCACTGGTCTAGGCCATGTGTTGCAAGGCAGCATGTTCAGTAACCAAGCTGATACTCCGCCCTAACCTCTCCACTGATGTCCCAATTGGTTCTGACCTCAGGAGAAAAGGGCTGCTATTGACAGGGCCTGTCCTAAACCCCAATGATCAAAGAACAGGTGATGTACATGACTTAACTCACATGAACACATATCTTGCCTCCAATTTAGTCTTGTTATTACAGGTATGATTTTACAACAACATGTAACAAGTTAATCATCATATGATAGAATGTAAATATTTTTTAAAATTCCAATAAGATACATGTATCTCAACAAATCAGAATTTTCTAGTTTAAATATTGTGACAGAGTAATAATACCCAAATGTTGGCAGGGATGTGGAACAACTAGAACTCTCATAAAATTGCTGGTAGGGATATAATACAACCATCTGAACAGTTTAAAATAAAGTTAAACATATGCCTACCCAATAAATCAGCAATTTCTCTATTGAGTACTGAACCAGAAGAAATGAAAGCAAGTCCACAAAGAGGTGGACAAGAATGCCCCCAGCAGGCGTATGCGGAACCGGCAAATAGAAGGGAACCAATGCCACATCTAGCGGCTGAATTGTAAGGACAAATCATTACCAACCTTGAGGTTAGGAGTCTGAGTTTGATCCACAATAAATCTCATCAAAATGTTAAATTGTTGATCAAATGGAAAGGAGTCCCTGGGTAAAAAGAAAAAAGTGCTTGTTCTTTAAGAAAAATTTGTAACAAAAAATAATGTAAAACCATATAAAAACAAAAAATAAACTGTTATAGATTAACATATGCAAACGCAAGCCTGTTCACATTTTTTAAACAGTACTTTTCATTTTATATTAAATACTAAAGTAATACGCATTACAGAAAACATTTTTAAAAAGGAAGTCTTGTTAAACATCTCAAAACACATACTAAACTTACTTTGAGTATGCTAGTTTAAAAATAAATATGAAGCAATAAGGAAAAGATTCATACTTGCCTTCTAGGGGTCTGCTCAACTTCTCTCCAGCTTTCTAAATAATGCTTCTCAGAAAATACTGCCTATTTCCAAATCTTAGTTTTACTCCCTGATTAGGCAGCTTATAGCTGACCTCGCTTAAGCTAACTGCACTGTCCTCCTTCTGGTGAGGGCTTATAATTGCTACTTGGCATAATCACGAGAACAGCGCCTGTGGGGCACTCAGCAAAAACCCCCACATGCAACTACCGAACATATATAGAAACCAGGGCCCCTGCAGGCCCCTCCTGCTCCATTTCTTACTTGGTGCCAATCCCTTTCCTTTAGTCATCTCACACCTTTAGTCCAACTGAGCGACACTGAGGGCTCTCGCCTAGTGAAAAGTCAGTGCTCTATCCCCCTTAAAATGCTGCCATTACTAGTCTCAGTGTAAAACTGCATAATGGAGCCCATGTGGACTAACAGGAAAGATACTGCAATGCAAACATCTATTACAATTGAGGCTGAGCAATTGCACCGCTGTCCTGGGACTCTCTTAGAGACTTTTCTCAATCTACAGTAATAGTAGTAAAAAAAAAAAAAGGGATGCAGGTTCAAAACCATGAAAATCACAGGACAGATGTGACATTTAAATGAAATAATACAAGAAAAATGTAAAGTGCATGGCACATACTAGGTACTCGTGTTGGTAGCATTATAATTATCAATAAGAAGTAAACTTGACCCAACAGCACATCCTTTTCTACCATATCTATCTGCATCCAGGAAGCTGTGAGACCACTTCTGGGAGCAAAGTACACGTCAGAACACATGATTTAAGTGACTCACATGGCTGTAAATTAAAGAAACAAGGTCAACAAACCACACACAAAATGTCTCTCCTTTCTTCGGTAGCAAATAACTGATGTGTTTAACCGGGAAATGTGCCCTGTTAGCACAGCCGAAGGACAGGAAGCTGAGGCAGATTTGCAATCAGGTCTATTACCCGAGGAAGAGCTCTCAGCCAACACTGAGCCCCTGGATACGCACTGATCCCAGATAACCTTAAGCAGCTATACAACTCAGCTGCTGAGACAGGAATGATAAACATGCTTTAGAGACCGAGACCAAATATAAGGAGAACAGGATTCTTAAAGGAAAGAGACATCCAAAAAAGTTAACAGAAGGGAATAATTGTTTTTCTTAATCACCAAAGGATGGGAATATGATCGTAATATTCCTGCCATCCCCTAAAAATCTGAAACAAATCTTGTCATTCATAAATTTCCTTAAATTTAGCAAGTGACCTATAGGCCAAGTCGGGCTCACAATGTTTTATTTGGCTTTCACAATACCTAGTATGTGCCATACACTTTACATTTTTCTTGTAGCATTTCATTTAAATTTCACATCTATCCTGTAATTTTTGTAGTTTTGAACCTGCATCCCTTTTCTTTTTCATAAAAAAAAAATAATTCTTGAATACGTTGCATTAATCCACATTTCTGACCTTCCTTGAAAAGTCTGGAACCACTGGGCCCAGGTTCCAACACGGCCACCACTGATCACACTTCTCCACATTATCCATAATCCTCCCCTCTTACCTACTTCACTCACTTTTATCATCTGGATCAGCCTAGCACTTGTAGTCAATGCTTTATCAATCCATTGCTAAACTGATGTATAGGGATGTTCCCTAATTCTGGCCTATATGTGGAATCTTAAAAAAGAACAAGCCAAACCCATAGAAACAGAGAGTCGAATGGTGGTTGTCAGTGGTTAGGAGGAGGAGGAAATGAGATGTTGGTCAAAGGGTACAAACTTTCAGTTATAACATGAGCAAGTTCTGGGATCTAACATATAGTGTGGTAATTATAGTTAACAATACTGTATTATACATCTGGAAGGTCCTAAAGACAATAGAGCTGAGATGTTCTCACCAACACCACAACAAAAAGATGATAATTATGTGATAATATATACATGAAACAAAATCATCACACTGTACACTTTAAACTTACACAATGTTCTATGCAACTACATCTCACAAGCCGGGGGAAATGGTCTACTTCCAAAACACTTACCTTGTGACATCTAGAGCTTTCTGAACTTTCGCTTGCACAGATCCAAGTAAATCTGCCCCCATTTTCTTAAGTAATTGTGTGAGAAGAACAAAAAGCCAGTCTTGCAAATCATCCTTATGAATTATTATAAAATCAACAAGAGTCTCCAAAAACATACTGAAAACCTAGACACAAATGAAAACAGAACATTTCACATATTTAATTCAAAATTCCCTCCAAAGTCCCCAAACCATTAAAAATGCCTATACTGGCTTGGCCCAATCTCTTACAAGGTAGGTTAAAACTGTTAACAACTGATCATACCACAGAAGACACATGTATTAAAGAAAATTAGGGAAAAAGAATTGGAACTTACTCTCTGATGTGATTTCCACCGCAAACCAGGCCATGCAACAAAACAAATGCCTTTGTTAGTCCAGAGTGAATTAATACAATTTTCATGCAGTTTACTCAACGACCTGAAATGGCTACAAGTTGAGACCACACTCTCTCCTCCCTCAATATGCCTTTAAAATCCATACACAGAGAGAAATAACTTTACTGAAAAGTATTAGTTTGTTTGTTGATTTATTTATCTTTAATGATTAGATTAATCTAGAGCAGCGGTTCTCAACCTGTGGGTCTCGACCCCTTTGGGGCTTGAACGACCCTTTCACAGGGGTCACCTAAGACCATTGGAAAACACATATATTTGTGATTAATCACTATGCTTTAATTATATTCAATTTGTAACAATGAAATTGGGGGTCACCACAACATGAGGAACTATATTAAAGGGTCCCGGCATTAGGAAGGATGAGAACCACTGATCTAGAGTCATCTTTCTTTCTTTCTTTCTTTTTGGTTAAGCCTCACCCAAGGATATGTTTTTCATTGATCCCTAGAGAGAGTGTAAGGGAGGGGCAGAGACAGAGAGAAACATCGATGTGAGAGACACACATCAATTGGTTGCTTCCCGCACATGCCCCAACTGGGGCCAGAGATCAAGCCTGCAATTGAGGTATGTGCCCTTGAACAGAATTGAACCCGTGACCTTTAAGTCTGCTGGCTGATGCTTTAACCACAGAGCCATTCTGGCCAGGGTGGCGTTTTTCTTTCTTAAAATAAAAACACACATTTAAATCATCATAATTCTATACTATTATTTTTCATTTTCTATCATTAAAAAAATACTATGATAGGAAGACTTTCCATCAAGAAGAAAAAGTAGGTGTAGATACTGACTGTGCTTGCCTCCTCCATGGCCACATCAAAACTACAACTAAATTATAGAACAACCATCACCGAAAACCATCTGAAGACTAGCTGATCAGAAGTCCTATAATGAAGGCTATAAAGAAAAGCCAGTGAGACTGGTAGGAGGGGTGGAGACCCAGAACAGGCTTGTCCAACATCCCTGAGTGAAGGTTAAGAATTGGGAGGGAGCTTTCCATGCTACCCAGGGAGGGCTCCATACGGTGTTGTTCTCGGTTTCCACGTAACTTAAAGGGAAACTTCTCACAATGACCGGAGCCCTTGATGTCCTACAAATGAAGGAGGAGGATGTCCTCAAGTTCCTTGCAGCAGGAACCCACTCAGGTGACACCACCTTGACTTCCAAATGGAACAGTCCATCTACAAAAGGAACAGTGATGGCATCTACATCATCAATCTGAAGAGAACCTGGGAGAAGCTTCTGCTGGCAGCTTGTGCCATTGTTGCCATCGAAAACCCAGCTGACGTCCGTGTCGTGTCGCCCAGGAATACTGGCCAGCGAGCTGTGCTGAAGTTTGCTGCTGCCACTGGAGCCACTCCTACTGCCGGCTGCTTCACGCCTGGAACCTTCACCAACCAGATGCAGGCAGCCTTCCGGAGCCAAGACTTCTGGTGGCTACTGGCCCCAGGGCTGACCCCCAGCCTCTCAGAGGCGTCTTATGTTACCCCGCCCACCATCGCTCTGTGTAACACAGACTCTCCGCTGCGCTATGTGGACATCGCCATCCCTGGCAACAACAGGGGGCTCACTCAGTGGGTCTGATGTGGTGGATGCTGGCCCGAGAAGTACTCCACATGCTCATGGACAGGAATAAGTAACATCATCAAAATGTGTATACTTTCCAAAGCAATCTAAAGATTCAATGCAACCCCTATCAAAATACCAATGAAATTAGAATAGTCCTAAAATTTATATGAAACTGTAAAAGCCCCCAATAGCCAAAGCAATCTTGAGAAAGAACAAAGATGGAGATTTCAAGCTATCTGGTATCAAACTATATTACAAGGCTATAGTAATCAAAATAACGTTATACTGGCATAAAAACACATAAATCAATGAAATAGAAGAGAGAACCCAGAAATAAAGCCATGAATATATGGTCAATTAATATATATGACAGAGGAGGCAAGAATATAGAATGGAGTAAAGACAGTCCCTTCAATAAATGGGTAAACTGGACAGACACATGGAAAAAGATAAAACTAGATCACCAACCTACACCATATACAAGAATAAACTCAAAACCGAATAAAGAATTAAATTTAAGTCCAAAAATCACAAAACTCCTATAAGAAAACATAGGCAGTAAACCCTCTGACATCGTTTCTTAGTCATAGATATATATATATATATATATATATATATATATATATTCGTATATGTCCTCGGGGAAGGGTAACAAAATAAATAAATAAATAAATAAATAAATAAATAAATACATGGGACTTCATCTAATTAAAAAGTTTTTCCACAGGGAAGAAATCATGAACAAAACAAAATGACAACCTACTACATTGGTGAAGATATCGTCAGTGATATGCCAGATAAGGAGTTAATACCCAAAATATATAAGAAACTCACACAACCTAATACCAAAGAAATTAAGAAATGGGCAGAGGACTTGAATAGATATTTTTCCAAAAAGAACATAAAGATGGGCAACAAACGTATGAAAAGATGCTCAATGTAACTAATCAACAGAGAAATGCAAATTAAAATCACAATGAGATATCACTTCACACATGTCAGAATGGCTATCATCAATAAATCAACAAACAAGTTTGGATGAGGATGCAGAGAAAAGAAAACCCTTGTGCACTGTTCTCGAGATTGCAAACTGGTACAGCCACCATGGAAAACACCATGGAGATTCCTCAAAAAATTAAAAACAGAACTACCATATGGCTCAGCAAGTCCGCTTCTGGGTATTCATCCAAAGAAATCCAAAACACTAATTGGAAAAGACACATGCATCCCATGTTCATTGCAGCATTATTTATAAGAGCCAAGATATGGAGGCAAAGTAAGTCTCCATCAACAGACAATAGAAGAGGTAGTACATATATGCAATGGAACATTATTCAGGTGAAGGGATTAAAATGTACAAATTGCAATTATAAAAACAATCATGGAGATTAAAGTACATCATAGGAATCTATGGATAAAAGGATAATATGCTAATTAGACCGGACATCTTCCGGACATCTTTCCGGACAAAGCCATGGTGGCAGGGACCAAGGCAGAGGCAATTAGGGGCGATCAGGTTGGCAGGGGAGAGCAGTTAGGAGCAATCAGGCTGGCCGGGAAGGGCAGTTAGGGGTGATCAGGCCATCAGGGAGGGCAGTTAGGGGCGATCAGCCCAGCTGGTAGAGGGCAGTTAGGGCAATCAGGCTGGCAGGGCAGCAGTTAGGGGGCGATCAGGCCAGCAGGGGAGCAGTTAGGGACATCAGGCCAGCAGACAGAGGCAGTTAGGGGCAATCAGGTAGGCAGGCAGGCAAGCGGTTAGGAGGCAGCGGTCCCGAATTGAGAGAGGGATGTCCGACTGCCAGTTTAGGCCTGATCCCAAGGGGTCCTGGATTGGAGAGGTTGCAGGCCGGGCTGAGGGGATTCCCTCCCCCTGTACAAATTTTGTGCACCGGGCCTCTAGTATAGTCAATAATACTGTAATAACTGTGTAAGGTATTGGGTGGGTACTAGACTTGGGTGATCACTTAGTAAGTTACATAAATGTCTCATCACTATGTTGTATAAGTTAAACTAATGTAATGTTGTATGCCCGTGGTCAGCAAACTGCGGCTCGCCAGCCACATGCAGCTCTTTGGCCCCTTGAGTGTGGCTCTTCCTAAGCCTTAGGAGTACCCTAATTAAGTTAATAACAATGTACCTACCTATATAGTTTAAGTTTAAAAATTTGGCTCTCAAAAGAAATTTCAATCGTTGTACTGTTGATATTTGGCTCTGTTGACTAATGAGTTTGCCGACCACTGTTGTATGCTAAGTATAACTGAAAAATTTTATAAATTTTTAAATAAAGATTACTATGTGACACCTATACAAAAAAAAATAGTTATAGGATGAGGGGGAAAAAACTTGTGTATTTTTTTTCATTCTAGTCATCTATTTTAATGCATACCAAAATTCAGATATTGTCAAGTAATATCTTTATAAAATGACTAGAGGCCCAGTGCACAAAAATTTGTGCACTTGGGGGGGGGTGTCCCTCAGCCCGGCCTGTGCCCATTCACAGTCCAGGACCCCTTGGGGGATGTCCACCTGTCGACTTAGGCCCACTCCCCGGGGGATCAGGCCTAAGCTTGCAGTCAGACATCCTTCTGGCAGCCAGGGAGCCCTCGGGGGATAAAGGCTTAGGACCCCAAGGGATTGGGTCTAAACCATTAGTTGGACATTCTTAGTGCTGCCACGGAGGTGAGAGAGGTTAAAAAATATAAAAATATAAGCTGCCATGAGCCAGCTTCTGGCTGAGTGGCACTCCCCATATGGAAGTACACTGACCACCAGGGGGCAGCTCCTGCATTGAGCATCTGCCCCCTGGTGGCTAGTGCGCATCATAGCAACCAGCCATTCTGCCGTTCAGTCAATGTGCATATTAGCCTTTTATTATTATTATATAGGATGTCCCTATTTCCCCCTTTTTGCCCCCTCTACCCAGCTCTTGCCCCCCACTTCTCTCTGGCCATCACCATACTGTTGTCTGTGTCCATGGGTTGTGCATATATTTTCTTTGGCTAATCCCTTCTTTAAATTCACTTCTTTAAATTTTTATTTTCAGATAAGTGCTTATAACTGCACTATTATATATTTTCTATTATATCATTTAGAATTAAGATATTTTTTAATTGAACCCTTGTAAATTTTAGCACAATTTAATAAATTATGCTAGAAGCAATTAGGAGATTTTTCATGTAATGCAGATACATTTCAATTAATATTTTATTCATTTTTAATTTTTTAATATTTTAATTTGAAATAATCTCATACATGTAAAAAAAACCTATAAAATACTACAGCATATTATATGTACCCTTCACCCAATTTCTTAGGTGTTAATAATTTAAACATAACCATTATACAACTAACAAAATTTGGAATATATTTTTCTTATTATCTCTTTAATGTTACTTAATCCATTTACTTTGTTTTTGTTAATCTTCACCCAAGGATATTTTTCCATTGAATTTTAGAGAGAGTGAAGGGAAAGGGAGAGACACATTGATTGGTTGCCTCCAGCACATGCTCTGATAGGGACTGGGGATCAAGCCAGCAACTGAGGTACATGCCCTTGACTGGAATCGAACCTGGGACCCTCAGTCCACGGGCTAATGCTCTATCCACTGAGAAAAACAGGCTGCAGCTTAATTCATTTACTTTTAATCTATATGTGTCTTTATATTTAAAGCGGGTTTTGTTTTTGATTCACCCTCATAATCTGTCTTTTAATTGATGCATTTATGCCACTGACTTTCAGAGTGCTTACTGATAGAGTTACTACCATATCAGGGGCTCCTGGGGCTTCTGGGGCGGCAAGGTGGGGCCGGATCCTGGAGCTTCTGGGGCAAGGCGGGGGTGGGCCTGCCCTGGATGGCGGTGCTCTGGCGGCTCGAGCTGTCCTGCCCTGCCTGCAGTATGCAAATTAGCCGCCATCTTTACTGGCGGTTAATTTGCATATCGTGCTGATTAGCCAATGGGAGGCATAGCGAAGGTATGGTCAATTACCATGTTTGTCTATTACAGTGGGGCCTTGACTTACGAGTGTCCCGACTAACGAGTTTTTCGAGATACGAGCCATCTCTCGGCCGATTTTTTGCTTTGAGTTGCGAGCTAAAATTCGGGTTACGAGCCAGCTTCAGATACCCCACCGCTAGTTGGCACAGCGAACGTCACAGTGAGCGCCACAACATCAGCCAAGCATCACGTGTCTCACTCGTTCACTTTTTGATTTGACATACGAGTAATTTGAGTTACGAGCTCCATCACAGAACGAATTAAACTCGTAAGTCAAGGCCCCACTGTATTAGATAGGATATTACAAAAGCCATAAAAAGCTTTATAAAAGGTTATGGCTTAAAACCTCACATTATTATCATGCTGCTATATACTTATTATTGCTGTCTAAGGTGCTAAGGTGAGACAGTCACAGTGGACCAATCTCAGAGAGGTAAGTGGCACCTCTTTGGATATGAGCATCGCTCTACGGAGACAACCCAGTGATGATATACCAAATAGTGCAGCAACTATTAACCACCAGGGTGTCAAGTGGCTCAGAAGAAAGTCCATGAGCCCAGCTGTGGGGTTCCTAGCTTAGCTGCAAATAGTAACTAGACTGAGACCTCCAAACTCACTGTACAAGAGCCTTCTGATGGAAACAAATTTCCTTCTTTATCCTCACATTCTGGTTCTGAATCAGCAATCTAGAGGTGACAGGTAACAGAAATTTCGTCAATGTCCCAAACCATCTAATCCTTAATGCTATGAATCCTATAAATCTTATGCTTATGATTTAAATCTTAGTGTTTTTAACATTATTTTAGAGAAGAAATCTTGATAATTATATCTATTTGGCCCTTAAACTCAACCTTCTTGGATCTTATTAATAGTTAATGTTAACCTTGCTGTGAGGGTCAGGGTCCTGACAGGGATTTTAAAGCACACTTCAAGACCGATCGAGAAGTGCTGTCCAGAAAAGGGGGAGAATGCCCGCACTCATTCCCCTAAACTCTGTGAGCATCTCAAAAAACAGGGGTCACATGGTGCTTCGTGCACCCCTTGCCCAGAGTGGGTGCCAGGAATGCTGAATGACGGGACAGAGGTGGCAGCTTAAGGGACAACTCCCATGAAGAGGAAAGGCTCGGAAAAGGGGACATCACAAAACAGCTTCTTTCTGGGCCATCACGGCTTCATGCTTCCAGAAAAACTTAGGACAGACCATTTTCACTAGGAAACTGAAGTATAAGATAGTGAAGTCCGGCATGTAAAGCATTTAAGATTTGCTTATGGTGACTAAGATTTCCTCAATTTCTGTACTTTGGTTTCTGTCCTTTTTCCACCCTTTAGCTTTCCCAATATCATCATCCCCAAACAATGCCAATTATGTAGAACCTGGACTCGGAGTGAGCGGTTCTAAAGGGCCCTCCCGGCACCACTCCTGAGAGGGCCCGGACCCCTCCGTCTGGTGTGCTCCTTGGGCAGGGACCCCTTGTCAGAAAGGCAGGCCTCAGGCTCAGTGCTCTCCTGGGCTCCCGGGAGGGGGAGGCACCAGCTAAGTGGCCACCAGGCAGCAAGTTCTTGGGGCTGGCAAATTCTATTTGTAAAAATAACTTAACCTGGTTCTCTAATAAATCTATTACATAAATGCTTCCACTTTTCCATCTTGTCTTATATAGAAATATTCTACCCGGGATGCAAAAAAATTATTATATACTTGATTATTTTCTTCACTACTGAAATTTTTTTTAAAAGTCACTATATTATATAATACAATGTTACATTCTAGCATCTAGCCCACTGTTAGCTAATAGGAGCCACTCAAAAATATCTGCTGAAAGACAACTGATTCCCTCCATAATAACTCGTACTTGAAATGCACTTTATATATAATTTGAAGTTTCATAGACATTTGAAGCTTCCAAGAATTCCATTTTTAAAAGATGTGACATAAGCTATTGCTGAAATTAGTGTTACATCTGTGAGGTCTTTTTTGCGTGTTTTTTAATCCTCCCCCAAGGATATGTTTAGTGGAAGGGAGAGAGAGGGAGAAAGAAAAAGGTAGGAAAGGGGGAAAGAGAAAACCATGGATGAACCAGCGATAGAACCTGCAACCTAGGTATGTGCCCTGACCTGGAATCAAACCTGCAACCTTTTGGTGTACAGGACAATGCTCCAGCCAGCTGAGCCACAAACCAGGGCTAATCTGTAAGGTCTTAACTTCACTACAGGGAATTATCTCTCATTCTTTAAAAGTATATGACACAGCTCACAGACATGCAGAGAGAAAGGTAAGCAAGGCATGATTCCCAGACTTACCTTGCTATGTGGGTCAGCAAACATTCGTGTGAAGATCTCACACAATCTTTTCAATTCTACTCGACTAAAAAAAAATAAAACGGAAATAAATTCCCTTTATTGAGTCAACACTAAAATTAGTTACAGCTTTGGTTTAAAAATCCTTTTATTTCAGTCAACTACATAAGCTTTATATAATTTTTATTAAAGTTTTTTCACACAAAAAACTTTACATTATTTAACTCATGACGAAATCAAACGGGAATATGAAACGATAATAGTTTTGTTTTTATTTTAAAATGAGGAAACTAAATCTCAGAGTGCCTAAGTTCGCAGGTACGGAAGTGGCAAAGCCATGAGATAAATCCTGTTCATTTCATCCAGGTCTGTTTTCCACCTGCCACAGATGGAGGGCAACGGGATAAACTGGGAAAGCATGTACTCTGGGGTCACACGGACCTGAACCTTAATCTCAGTTCTGCCAGAGAAAGTATGAGTCACACAGGGTAAGAGCTCCCTGGCTGCTGCGAGGATGAGAGGAGATGACACCTCCTTCCTACAACTGTGCCTATGACACAGCAACCGCGTTTCGTTTTAGGGCCCCTCTGCCTTTCTTATCCTTAACTGTACTACCAAGTTCCAATTTTACTTCAAGGCTGATTAGAAGGGACATATTTTTCCCAAATCATGCGTGAGTAATCCCCCCTTATACACACAACACAATCTAGATTAGACCAAAGCTAATCAAAGATTTCTAGAGGCTATTCAATGGATACTTGGTGAACACTAAGATGTAAGAAACTGAGACCAGCAGAATTAACTAGATTCTTGAAGCAACAATCACAACAAATAATCCTCATTTTGATTTTTGATAGATCACTAGAGGTCAGAAGCTACCTGCCTTTCAGAAGGCATATGACAGAAGTTCTCAGGACATCTTCATGAACGGAATAGAATTTGGGAAGTGGGAGGTGGGTGGGGGGTAGCAGGGTAGAGTCAGGCTGACTTGGGAGCCACACCGCATAGGGATTCCTGGGTCAGTGCTCACTTAACTTTGCAGAACCCATCTAGGACCACAAAAGTATCCGGTGTCATAATTTATCTTTAAAAAATTATCTAAAGAATATAATACACTGTCATGGATTCTAAGTTGCCCACTTTTTCACATTTTAACATCTCTGTAATTGTGAGATTCATCTTATAATCAATGACATATTAACGTCAGGTTTAATAAGCAGCATTTCTTCTAAAAGGGATATAAAATAACTAGAGGCCTGGTGCACAAAAATTTGTGCACTCGGGTGGGGGCGGGGTCCCTCAGCCCGGTCTGTGCCCTCTCGCAGTCTAGGACCCCTCGGGGGATGTCCACTTGCCAGCAGGGAGCAGGCCTAAGCTGCAGTTGGACATCCTTAGAGCTGCTGAAGAGGCAGGAAAGGCTCCCGCCAACACCGCTGTGCTGGTAGCTGTCAGCCTGGTTTGTGGCTGAGCAGAGCTCCCCCTGTGGGAGTGCCCTGACCACCAGGGGGCAGCTCCTGCATTGAGCATCTGCCCACTGGTGGTCAGTGTGTGTCATAGTGACCAGTCATTCCCAGTCGTTCTGCTGTTAGGGTCAATTTGCATATTACCCTTTTATTATATAGGATAGAGGCCTGGTGCACAGGTGGGGGCCGGCTGGTTTGCCTGAAGGGTGTCCCGGATCAGGGTGGGGGTCCCACTGGGTGCCTGACCAGCTGGGTGAGGGGGCTGAGGGGCTGTTTTCACGCTGTTTCAGGCTGGCCACACCTCTTTCAGTGTGGGTGTCCCACTTGAGTGCCTGGCCAACCTCGCTGATGAGCTAATGCCTGTTTGCAGCCTGGCCATGCCCCCAAGTGGTGACCCTCATCTCATGGGGGTGTGGCCAGCCTGGGTGAGGGGCTGAGGGCTGTTTTCTGGCTGGCCACACCCCCTTCAGAGTAGGGGTACCTACTGGGGTGCCTGGCCAGCCGGGGTGAGGGCTGAGGGCTGTTTTCAGGTTGGCCATGCCCCCGACAACCCAAATTCCCAGCCTCTCCTTTTTTTCTTTTTCTTTTTTTTCCATGACGGCCTGGAAGCAGGTATCTGGGATTATTTATCTTCTATAATTGAAACTTAGTAGCCTTGAGTGGAGCCCAGGTCGGCCAGGGCAGGCAGGAAGCTTGGCTTCCTCCATCGCTAGGGGCAACCCAAGCCTCCTGCTCGCTCCAGTTCCATGGCCACTGCCATCTTTGTGACAGAGTGATGGTTAATTTGCATACTGCTCTTTTATTAGATAGGACTAGAGGCCCGGTGCACAAAATTTGTGCACTCAGGGGGGGAGGGGGGTCCCCCAGCCCGGCCTGTGCCCTCTCGCAGTCTGGGACCCCTCGGGAGATAACGACCTGCTGGCTTAGGCCTGCTCCTGGGTGGCAGAGGGCACGCCCAATCCCTAGGTGCAGCCCCTGGTCAGGCTCAGAGCAGGGCTGATTGGGGAGTTGGGGCGCCGCCCCCCTGTCATGCACAGAGCAGAGCAGATCGGGAGGTTGCGATGCCACCCTCAGTCACGCTCAGGGTAGGACTGATTGGGGGGTTGGGGCACCGCCCCCTGTCACACTCAAGGCAGGGTCGATGGGGAGGTTGCGGCGCCACCCCCTGTCACGCACAGAGCAGGGCCAATCAGGGGGTGGGGGCGCTGCCCCCTGTCACTCACAGAGCAGGGTCAATCGGGGTGGGGCGCTGCCCTCCTGTCACTCACAGAGCAGGGCCCATCAGGGGGGTTGTGGCTCCTTACCCTGTCACACACAGAGCAGTGTCATTCAGGGGTTTGGAGAGCTCCCCCCTGTCACGCACAGAGCAGGGCCCTATCAGGGATTTGAGGACTCTCCCCTGTCATGCACAGAGCAGGGCAGATCAGGGGTTAGAGGAGCTCCCCCCTGTCACTCACAGAGTAGGGCTGATAGGAGAGTTGGAGCCCCGCCCTCTGTCACACAAAGAGTAGGGAGATAAGAGGGTTGGGGCCCACCACCCTGTCATATTCAGGGCGGGGCCAATCGGGAGGTAATGGCTCTCCCTGTTAACACCAGAGCAGGCCCCGGAGATGGGTGGTTGGGGTCCTACCCTTCTATTACCCCCAGGATAGCTCGATCAGGGGGTTGTGAAGCCACGTTTATACTTTAGGGCAGGGCTT